GCTACCTGATCAAGAAAGAATGTACAGGAATTGTTTTATCAAAAATGGGAGACAAATAACTTTTTACTGGGCTCCTCCTTAGCTAAAAGCACAGGTTTGTTACTCTTTTCCACCAATTATCTATAGTCTCTAACCATGCAGAGACACCAAACGTTGGCTAGTCTATCAAGTTACATTACTAGCCTGATCCTCTAAGGCAAACTTCCTAACTAGCATGTCTCATAAGTATAGCTATGAATCCCCTTAGCCCATGGGGTGACTTGGGCGACTGGGAGCCCTGAAATAGTTACCGTAAGCCAGTCCCAAAAAACTTTCTTGGTTCATCCCAGTTTTAAATAAATATTTTCTTTTTTATTAAGATTTTTATTTTTATTTATGCATACAAGAGCTGGGGTGTATGACAGAGGTGCGGGGAGTGAGAAGATTCATCAGAGACAGAGTGGGGAGCAGAACAGGCAGATTGACTGAAATACACTGCTGAGGGGAACAGCAGGCAACACAGGAGAGGTCTACTGCGCCATGTGGGTTAGCTCCCTAGCCAGAAGGCCAGGGATCGAAATCATGCTGCAGTGCCTGGCAATAGTTTGATAGCTCTGTCACCAGGAAGGCCCTTAAATATTTTCTATGCATAAAATGACTTGAAAATAATTATAATTAGTCTCACTAATTTGATTTCTGGACAAAATTTAAAATGGTAATAATAATTGACACTACTTTTAAAACATTTACCTTGTACAACATATATGTTTGAAAGATTTAGTTTTAGTCTTACAAACCTCTACAAGGGAGGTTTTTATCTTTTTACAGAAGATGAAACCATAACCATTAGAATGTGGCATTTGCATATAACATGTATATCTTCTCGTATACTTGACATTATCTCTAGATTATGTCTAGCACCTAATACAATGCAAATGCTATATAGATAGTTGTTATACTGTTTTATTTTTTTTAGGGAATGATGACAAGAATAGGTACCAGTAGATAAGTGAAATCATAACTCACGTTTCCCCAGTCTAAAGCTACCTGTGGCGGAAGAAAAATCCCAAATCGATTATCACCCCAATAATGAATTAATTTATGCTATCATAAAGAATCCATTTTCCTTCTCCTGTTAACTATGCCATTGTTAAACAACTGACAGGAATTTACCTTCTGCTTCCTGCACATCAAATATTTTCCAGAAAAGTGGTCTAATAAAATCCCTCCTACAGTGATTACCGCTGAGGGGTAGGGTAGGCCTTTAACTATACCTGTAACTTCTCTTCTAAAAAAACAGAAATCTGAAACAAGGCAAAATGTTAACATTTGCTTAATCCTAGTGCTGGGTACATAGCTGTTTGTTATATATTATTTTCTGTGTGTTTTAAATGTTTCATAAAAGTTTAAAAATAGAACTCATTACAACAATTCAGGCAAAATCCCTTCCAGACTGTTTATATATACATAATACCTATATATATAACATATAAATAAATAAATACATATTTAATGTATATATATACACATATATACATAGCTTTAATAAGTTTCTTAGTCTTTTTACACCAACCAAAAGTAAATTAATCAATAGATCACTTTAATTTTTAACATGCTAGTCCCATTTCGCATTTAACCATTTTTATGCATTTGACAGAACACCAATATTGTTGTAATAATAGTTTCCACATCTTTGAGTCATTTTATTCCATGTTTTTCACCAGAGCTCCCTGTTTACGTCCTTGCAACTCTTTTAAAACTCTGGTGATTGTATTGGGGGATGCTGGGGGAAGGTTTAATAGATATAATTAAAGCTAGAACTGAAGTGTCAACAGGGGTATGTGATGCCACTCAAGGCACATGCAAAAGTAGAGATAAAAAATAGCCACTTGGGCCTCCCTGGTGGCACAAGGGATTAAGACGCAACCTATGAAGCTGTCCACAGTCAATGCATAACGAGTTTGATCCCAGGCCAGCCAGGGAGCAACCTACATGGTGCAGCAGACTTCTCCTGACTCGCCTGCTACTCCCCTCAGCAATGTATTTTGGTTGATCTGACTGTTCTGTTCCCCGATCTGTCCCTGGTGAATCCTCTCGCCCCCTACACACATATGACCTGTACCCCAGCTCTTGTATGCATAAATAAATAAATAAATCTTTAAAAAAAATAGCCACTTGCATCTTACTGGCTGTTAAAACACTGAACAATATTATCTGGAGGCTTAAGAGGGTTAGGAGTACAGAGATAGCTGGGACCTACTACAGAAGGGCTGGAGAGGTAACTAGAAGCCAGATCACAAAAGACCTCTTATGCTAATAAGCTTTGGATCTATCCTTCAGGGTGACTGGTCGTCATAGGAGGCTGTACTCATCTATTGAGATTTGAAAAAAAATTCAGATTTTTATAATTTTCTGCCCCATCCTTTAAATTGTGTTTAAACTGTATCTATTAGTACACCACTTGTAATTTATAAATTACTGTGCATATATCAAATTGTACTCAACTTTTTTTTTTGATTTTTTTTTTTTAATACAATAACTGGGGTACAGGCCACAGGTGTGGGAGGGTGAGAGGATTCACCAGAGACAGAGCGGGGAGCAGAACAGGCACAGACTGAAAGCACTGCTGTGGGGAGCAGCATGCGAGACAGGAGAGGTCTGTCGCGCCATGTAGCAATCTCCCTTGCTGGCCAGGAATTGAGCCCGTGCTGCAGAGGCTGCGGACAGCTTCACGGCACTGCGCTCAACCCGCTGCACCACTGGGGAGGCCTGTACTCCACTTTCTGTATGGAGAGTTCCATAATCAAAAAATTTGAAGATGGACGCCTCAGGCAATGACAAATTGATTAATCCTCTCCTTCTGTATAAACTTCTCAGTGAGTTCTTACTTCAGATCAATATCACTTTGTTAGGTCTAACATGATCCCAAATTCCTTTTCCTGTCTCTATTCTCTCCTGCTGCCCTTACAACTTCCTGGGTGTCATGAGGACAAGATGATTCCTTCCCATTTGCTCACAGAAGTGTTTGTTCTATGTTCAATAATATAAATAGGGAATGTAATTCAGGTTGGAAGAGAAGTATATGAGAGCCTTCACAGGGAAGCCTGGACTCTGTCTTACTGTCATTGAAGAGCCCAAGTGATTAAATTTCTGTCTCAGGGGACCACCATAATAAAATGTGCATTTTTAGAAAAATGACTTCCAGGTATCTGGAAAATGGAATGAATGGGGAAGAAATCAGGCTAGAAGAGCAATAGCAGACTAAACTAATAATCGCACCACTTTTTTTCCAGTAAGATCTTACTTTGGTCCTCAATATATAAAACAAAAACAAATGAATTCAGTGAGTTCTTCCTTATTGAAGGAACCTAGAAAGTAGGCACCAGAAGCGGAAGGCATCAAAAGTTGAGTAAATTAGAGAAACAGAGAGGGAGAGTGTGTCAAAGCCAAGGGAAGTGAGAGTGTCAAGCAGTCTTTAGGATTAAGAGTTAAAAAGAGTCAAGAGGGCTAAGAAGTGCCGCTTGGATTTGGCAAGATTATCAGTGACCCTTGTGGGTGCTGTTTCTTTAAAGCATTGGTGAGAGGAACCTGGAAACAGCAGATTGAAAAGTTAAGAGGACTTAGGGAATTAGTTGTATGCTCCAGTTTTGAGGAGTCTGGCTATACATGGAAGGAAACGGAAGGTTATAAAAAGAAAATGGATAGGCTGAGGGTTTATGTCTGTGTTTAAAAATGGAAGTAATTAACCATGCTCAGGATTTCCTAATTACTTTAACAAAGTAATTAGTAGTTTAAAAGAAAGAAAACAGGAACAATTGAGGGGGAAAATGGCAGGGGAGAAAGGATACAACTCTAACAGCTGAGATGGCGGTATCAACCCTATTTAAAAAAGGAACCATCACAGAAAAGCCAACCAAACATAGTTGAAAGTTGCTAATCTGACGTTTTAATATTCAAAATGGACATTCAAAAATAATTTGTGTCCAAGCTACTTTCCCCACTCCTGTGTCTGCACTTTCTATCTTTTCACATTTTTCTATACTATTCTATTTAATTGCAATCCTCCTCCCACCCTACCTGCCCGATACAGGTAAGATTCAAGATCCAATTCAAATATATGTCCATTAAAGATTTTTAAGCTCATAAAAGTCCTCAGTCAACCTTTTAGCTCTGTATTTCATATTTTTGTCTGTTAAGATTTGTTTCACCCACTGTTATACTTACATTGTGCCCAGAACACTGACTCAAAAGACTTGTAGCCATGTGGAACATAAAGGTGGGTTCAAATTAGCTAGGTCTGACAATCTGCCCAACTCCAGACAAATGAACACTCCCTGCCATGACCAGATCCAGCCCAACCAGACCGGGCTTGCAGAGCTCAGCTAACACTACTCAACACCTTGCAAGCTAGGAAGCAGCGGTGAAAGGAGAGCTACACTCGGGCTCAAGAGCAAGCCCAGCCCTGAAGAGAAGCGCAAGCCTTCAACGTCTCTCCCAAACTGCCCTCTTACTCGTCTCCTCAAATAGTAAAACCGCCTACAGGAGGCAGGACCTTCGAGTACCTCTGCCTAAGCGTCATTAAGCAAGAGTTAGGCCAACGAGAAAATATTAGCACTCTCAAGGTAAACAGCGACAGCGAAGGCCCCAAGTTCTCCACTTCCGCTTCCCCGCCTCACGTTACGCACGTCACGTCGACGGCGCAACGCACATCCGGCCCCGCCCCACCCTGGCCTACTGCCAACTTGGCCATGCAGGGAGGGAGACCTAGCGTAGGCTGCGCTCACGCACTGATGGAAGGAGAGGCCGCGCTCCCGGCTCAGCACGGTGTCCCGGGTGCTGCAGCCCACTGCTGAGCAACTGCGGGTCATCTTCTTGTTACGTGGGGCTCCACTTTCGGTGCTCGCGCGACAGCATGAATCACGATAAGTTTAGCTCCGCCCGTTGATTCGGCAACCACGACCTTTATTTGTTGGGAAAGGCGGGCTTTTAAAGCGCAGGGCTCCCTCCCATCCTCTCCTAGGGCGCGACGCTTGGCGCCGTGGCCAATCACAGGCCACGTTGTCCCGCGGCAGCCAATCAGGAAGTGTCGAGGCACTAAGACGCGCACTAGGCCCCGCCTCCCTCCCTGGTCAAGGGTGGTTAGAGCGTTTTGCTGCAACGGACTCGCTTTCCTCCTGTTTTCTCCCACTCGGGTTAAATCCGGTGCCATCGAGCGTCTCATGCAGCGGAGTCTGAGAATGCGAAGTGAAGAGGCAAAAGTAAAGTTAAGGCGAATCCAGCTGCGAGCTCTGAAACTGTCCAGAGGACGTGATGGAAGGAAGGTATCGGAAGAAGAGGGATAAACGCGGTGCCCTAGAAATGTGGAAGACAAAATCGGGCCCAAAATAATTTATTTATTGAGAGCATGTCATGTAGATTCTGTAAGAGCTGTTGGTATGGTTGCCTGTCGGTTTGTGATTCCAGAGCAGATTGAATGACAGCCTAATCGGATATGTCTCGATTCAGAGAACCTTTTCCTGCAAGACCTTGGGGAATGAAGAGGGAAGTAAGGGAAGGGCTTTGGGGCCCTCGGGGAATGTCACGACCTTCATAGAACAGGAGAAAGAGGGCAATGAATGGGTTTTGGTTGGGATGTGGGCACCACGGGTAGCATTCACATGCGAGACGATCCTAGAACCGTGTCTTTGTTCTTTATGATTACTGTGTGAGTTTTCAATTTTCGTAGAAGAAACAGTGCTTCATCCTTAACGTTCGGGGACCATTCTAATAAATAGAAATATCTGTAGCTTTCATTTCTTTCTCTAGCTCTCAAGAATGATGCCAATATTTCCAAGAAAAATTGCTTGAGTTTCCCCTTCACCTTGTTCACATAATGGCCAAGACGCATCTCAAGGTATTCACTTATTCACACCCGTGGGTTTTAGAGAAAATTGGTTCATGGGGGTTGTGCTTGTTTGTCTATAAGATGGATTTTTTTTTTTTTGGTTGGAGTTCAGCTTTAATTTCTTTCCAAATTTCTGTTCAGTTATAATAAAACTCTCTACAGTGTGACCCTTCCTTAGATCCTCATTTTGAAACACTTTTTTTTTAATTTTTAAAAAGGTTTTTTTAATTTTATTTTTATATTCCCCATACAATTGCAACCCCTTTATTTTGACCTCAATCCCCCCTTTCCCCGCCCTCCTGTAAGATGGATTTAAATCATTATCAGTTGGTAGGTTAAGCCTTCTCTTGTACTCAGCCAATTAACATCTGAATGAAATGAAATTAAGATAAGTAACAGGGCCTCCCAGGTGGCTCAGCGGGTTGAGCCCCATGCTGTGAAGCTGTCCACAGCCTCCACAGTGCTGGTTCAATCCCAGCTGGCCAGCAAAATCCCACATGGTGCCACAGACCTCTTCTGTCTTGCCCGCTGCTCCCCTCAGCAGTGTATTTCTGTCTTCTGCCTGTTCTGTTCCCCACTGTCTGGTCTGTACCCCAGCACGTGTATAAAAATAAATAAATCTTTAAAAAAAATAAAATAAGTAACAGTTGTTAATTATCTTTAAGGAAATAGTTTGCCCTTTTTTTTTGGTAACAGTTTTATTGACATACTATACAGTTTAACCACTTACAAGTGTACAAGTTGGTGGTTTTTAGTGTATGATGAATTGTGCATCCATCACCACAATAAATTCTAGAGCATTTTCATCACCCCCAAAAGTAACCCCATTTTCATTAGCAGTTATTGCTTATATGTTCCTTATCTCCAGCCCTTGGAAATTACTAATGTTTTTGTCTGTGTAGATTTGTCCTTCCTAGTTACCTCATATAAATGGAATCACAATCTAATACATTGTTTTTTTGTCACTGACTTCTTTCACTCGGAATCCTTCCGAGTGATTTAAGATTCATCTCTTTTGTGGCACTTTATTTCTTTTTATTGCCAAAAATAACTGTTGTATGAATATGCAACATTTTATGTATCACTCATCAGTTGTTGAGCATGAGTTGTTTTCTCTTTCTTTTTTATTGTGGGGGGGCTATTAATAATGCTGCCATCAACATTAATGTGCAGTTTGTGGGCAAACTTGTATACATAGGAATATAATTTCTGGGCCGCATGCTAAGTCATGCTTAACCTCTTGAAGGACCAGATTCTTTCCAAAGTGGCTATGCCATTTTATATTCCCCTTATCAGTGGATGAGGGTTCTACTTTCTCCACATTCTCCTGGGTGAGAAAGTAATGTGGTGGTTTCCTTATTTTTCAGGACTCAAAGTCTGTTCTGAACATGCTAAAGGATGCACTTTGGAGTGCATTGGCATTGTCCAAGATGAATTTGTCTTCTCAGTCCCTGGTACACAAATTTTTAACTTGTGTTTCTGCTTTAATGTCATATCTGTTTCTAAAAACATTTTATATTCAACAGAATTGTAGATTTGAAAGATGTAGGTCTTATGGGGAAGAGGAAGGTTAAGATAAGACGTTTTGATGAGGTGTAGGATTCAGAGAATAATGTTTTCAGGTTATCTCTGAGAAAAGTTTTACCGGAACTCCCATTTCAGTGCCACAGAGATGAAGACATTTGCACAGACACAGGCAGGCAAAGGTTACATTTTATTTTTTATTTTTTTTTTAAAGATTTATTTATTTATACAAGCACTGGGTACAGTCAGAAGTACGGGAGGGTGAGAGAATTCACCAGAGCCAGAGTGGAGAACAGAAACAGGCAGACTGACAACATACACTGCTGAGGGGAGCAGCGGGCGGCAGGAGAGGTCTGCACGCCCCGGCTGGCGGGGATCAAACCGGTGCTGCAGAGGCTGTGCCGCTGCTCCACGGGGGAGGCCCAAAGGTTACATTTTAAATGAACAGGAAAAGGCAAAAGAAAATGAGAGGTACCTGCATAGTCACCGATGGGCATTGCAGAAATTGTACTGATAAGTAAGAGTGTTATTCTTGGAAGGGGTTATTCCTTTGTGGAATTGTTACCTATTTTTTTTTAAAGATTTATTTATGCATACAAGAACTGGGGTACAGGCCAGAGGTGTGGGGATAAGAGGATTCCCCAGAGACAGAGTGGGGAACGGAACAGGCGAATTGACTGAAATACACTGCTGAGGGGAGCAGCAGGCCAGTCAGGAGAGGTCTGCTGCATCATGTGGGTCACCTCCCTGGCCGGGGATCGAACTCATGCTGCAGTGGCTACAGATAGCTTGATAGTGCAAATTCCAGGGAGATCCTGGAATTGTTATCTATTGTGAAATTATTTACTTGTAAGGTATGAGTAAGTAAGACTGATGGTTCTCTACAATGGCCCTCAGTCTCCATTTCCCCACCTCTGGTCTGGACTTGCTACAGCACTTGGAGCTTAAGGATTTTTCATTTCTTTTGCTAGTTTAACAACTGTGCTAATCATTTCTACCCCCACCTCTAGTTTCTAGTCTTGTGATGCCTCCATTCTAAATTTTCTATTCTCAGCCTCCATCATATTGACTGTTCATATAAAACTACATATCAGTTTTATAATATCTAAAATAAAAGTGATTAGTACCTGGGAAGTACTTTTATGTCTTCCCTTTCCATTAAAGTTATCTTTAAATTGTCCCTGCCTATCTGGGGGGGTCTCTTAAATGCTAGATATCTCATATTAAAGTGAATCTCTGAGCTAATGGACTGCTGTTAGAATAGATTCAGAGGTGGTGTAATCTGCTAAGAGCCTTGCGCTAGGGCAGGAGTCCCAGGTACAGACACTTGTTTTTCTTTTTCTTATGGTGGAGTTGAAAGTTCCCTTGCTGCCATTCAGGCTCAGTGTAAGGAGAAAAAGAGAGCTTTCCCCCTCCCCTTTCCTATTTCATTGGATTCCAGATATTATAGCTGTCCTAGGAAAGATTAAACAATGTGGTTCTCATTTTGGTTGCATTTTTCTAATAATTAATTACAAATGTCTTACTGAGAATTGTTAGGAAAAAGATTTGCTTAAATATTGTAGACTGGTAGAATGAAAATTACCAAAGCTACACTACAAGTGATAACTGCCCAAGGTGTTTTTAATATTCTACTGGATAGAAAAGTATGTAATCCCTTACAAATGGAACCTTTTTTTTTTTTAAGTTGTAGTTATGTGTCTTTACATTTGTTTATAACTTTCACATGTTTTTTTCTTACTGCTGTTTTTGTTTTTCTGATAAAATTGAGGTTCTTGGTTTGGTCATTTGATTATATCTTTGCTTTCTCCAATAACTTCATATCCAGTGATTAAACCTTTTCACTGCTGTTCACATAATGAACCGTTGTGATTATTAATACGTAAATGAGGATATGTAAGCTGTATTAAAGATGTCTGCAAAAGGCTTTGACCGTTACAGAAAATAATTTTTAAAAATCTTTTTTCAGGAAAGCATTCTTAGAGATGTTGGGGAAAATTCCTGGTCCTTGGAAGATAATTACTCGAAATATACTTGGTAGGTAGTGTATCTTCTCTTTTAAATATACTATGTATTCCTGGAACTATAGCAGTTAGTTTGAAATTGAGGATTGTCCATATAAAAAACTGGATTTGTAAGACTAGTGAAGTCTACTTTTTTTTTTTTTTAAAGATTTATTTATTTATTTATTTATTTATTTATTTATTTATTTATTTATTTATTTATACAAGCACTGGGTGCAGTCAGAAGCGCGGGAGGGTGAGAGAATTCACCAGAGCCAGAGCGGAGAACAGAAACAGGCAGACTGACAACATACACTGCTGAGGGGAGCCGCGGGCGGCAGGAGAGGTCTGCGTGCCATGTGGGACCCTCCTCTGGTGGCCGGGGAGCAGCCGGGAATCGAACTGTACTCCAATATGGTGAGTACAGCGCCACCAGGGAGGCCCTAAAGTCTACTTTTTTTTAAAAGACTTATTTATTTATGCATATAAGAACTGGGGTCTAGGCCAGAGATAGAGCGGGGAGCAACTGAAATATAATGCTGAGGGGAGTGGTGCGCAAGACAGGAGAGGTCTGCTTTGCCATCTGGGTCAGCTCTCTGGCCAGGGATCTAACTCAGGGCCTCAGTGGCTGGCAATAGCTTGATAGTGCTGAGACTTTAACCCCTGCCCCACTAGAGAGACCCCTGAAATCTACTTTCATGTTTTATGGTATGGAATCTCAATTATTGGTCACTTGGGGTGTGTGAAGGTGGCCAGCTAATGCCTATTGAATAGTTATTTTGCGGTGGGGAGGGGAGCTATTGAATAATTAAGCGTCATGCCACACGTGCACATGGTTTTTGGTTTAACTATTTTTCTCACAATCATTCCTATGAAAGCAAATAAACTTTGCTTTCCAGAACTTATATTTTCCTTGTGGTACACTGTAAAGCAACCAACCCATTCCGGGCAGGTTTATGAACGGTTCTAGCAGCCACATATTCTTCGCCCTTGTTTGTAGTCGCCGTACTCTTCCGTACACTCCACTCCTTCACCCTCGACACCGCACTACCACCACACCGTACTCTGCTGCACCACCCTTATAAAGCAGTCTCTTAGCTCAGGTGTACCCACTTCAGGTGCCCGCCATCAGGCATGCATTCAGGATCACAGGGTTCCCTCATCTATCCTGATGGCGGGAGGGCAGAAAAGCCTGATACCTTTTACCTTACCCTACATACACCTACCCTTTTGTCAGATTCTTACTCTACTAGAACCTTTATTTGTTATCCTGATATAATGAAATGTATTTGTAGTAAAAATAGCAATCAAGAATAACAGTAAAATTAAAAATACAAAGACCTACTAAACTGTATGTGTAGAACTGATTCAGTCTTGCTGAAATTTTCTTTTTTTATTTTTTATTTTGCTTCAGAAAGCTTTTGTTGTTTTGGAAATTATTGGTGACCAAATATAAAGGCAGTTCTGAATCTTTCTCCTAAAATTTCACTTTTGTCTACTAATCTGTAAGTTGTACAATTTACTTTTAAGTACAGATTATGACTTTTTTTGTATTATTTATATCAATTTAACAAATTATGAAAAACTTAAGAGTTTAAAATAAACCACTTAACAGTGGGGCGGGGAAGGAGACATTGATTTGCGGGAGACTTCAGCTTTTTACCATGTGAACTTCTTCTCCATAGGCTGCCTGAGTGTCCTCATACCATAACATCTGGCTTTCCCCAGAGGGAATGATCCAAGAGAGAAAGGACAAGATGAAAGCTTGTCTTTTAAGGTTAGTTTTGAAAGTAACATAGCATCATTTCTATCCTATTACATTGGCTGCAGAGACCATTCCGGGTACGCTGTAGGTTGGGACTCTGAAGGGTATGAATACCAAGAGGTAGGGAATCATTGAGGACCATCTTGGAGACAGACTGCCATGCCATTTATTTTTATTTATTTATTTATTTTTTTAAAGGACTGAAGTTTTTTTTTTTTTTTTTTTTTTTTTTTTTTGTTTGTATTTCTACAAGCACTGGGTACAGTCAGAAGCGCGGGAGGGTGAGAGAATTCACCAGAGCCAGAGCGGGGAGCAGAGCAGGCAGAAGGACCGAAGTACACTGCTGAGGGGAGCAGCGGGCGGCAGGAGAGGTCTGCGCGCCATGTGGGACCCTCCTCCGGTGGCCAGGGAGCAGCCGGGGATCGAACCGGCGCTGCAGAAGCTGCAGGCAGCTTCGCAACCCAGTGCTCAACCGCTGCGCCACTGGGGAGGCCCTGCCATGCCATTTAAATACTTTTTTAACTATTTCAATTTGTTGAATCAAGATATTGAATAATTGTCCCACAAGTCAGATAATTAGAACTAGAAAAGCATGTGTATCCAAATAGTTGCTCTTTTGTAAGGTCACAGTTTTGTGGGTTTTGTTTTTTTTTTTAAAGATTTATTTATTTATACAAGATCCAGGGTACAGACCACATGCGTGGGAGGGTGAGAGGATTCACCAGAGACATAGTGGGGAATAGAACAGGCAAACTGACGAAACACAACTGCTGAGAGGAGCAGCGGGTGAGACAGGAGAGGTCTGCCACGCCATGTGGGACCCTCTCCAGCCGGCTGGGATCAAACCAGCATGCAGAAGCTGCGGACAGCTTCACAGCGCTATGCTCAGCCGCCTGAGCCACCAGGGGATGCCCAAGGTCACAGTTTTGTCCTGGCCTATACGTATATAAACTGCTTAAATGATGCCGCAGAGATTCCTTTTAGAATTTTTCTAGGATTTTACAAGAAAATTCATTTTATTGTCAGAATACTTTACCTTGATCTCACATATATTTTTGCAGTTCCTTCTCCCACTTACTCTTGGGAGAAATTAGTGGTTAGAGAAGCTGGTTGGAACAAGACTATAAGTTGAAATTGCATTTCCCTACCCCTAGTATTCTTGGAGTGCAGACAGATTTAAAAAAGTTGAACTTTTTATTTAGTATTTGAAGGAATGTTGTTCCTTTACTTATAGGTAGTTGCATAAATATTTGACAGAGGATAAAGATGAAAATATGCAGCAACCGCCTAAAACAGTTTGCTTTTTCCTACAAAACTTGACTTTTATCCAATATGGTGAGTACAGTTTGTTTCTTTTCTGTTACATTCCCTTTCCATCCACAACCTACTCCCCTTTCAAGTCTTCTCTATATCTAAGATTAAGAGCAGGTCAGGCAATCAGAACATTCCTAAAGGGCAGAATTCTAATTAATACCTGCAATCTATAAACTTGTGGCATTTTTTTCCTCTATCACTGCTCAAAAGTTCTGATAGCAGAGCTATCCATTGAAGTTTTAGTGCTTGTGATAGAAAACTTGTCTAATGACAAAAACACTACATGTAAAGCAAGGCATAACCGATTTTGAAATATATACTAAGGTCTGGTTACCATTTTCACGTCGGGTTTGTTGCTGAAGAAGACACCTCCAGGTTCACATAAGGTAATCTTCACAAAATAGATAAATGATATACTTGCAGTTTTCTCCTTAAGAGTTTTTCCTAATCATAGCAAAATTAGAGCTTTTATCTATTCTGCATGAGAAAATTGAAATTTATAGAAATGTGCATTTATTATGTTTTATTGAAAAGGCTAAAATCTTATGACTAGAGCTTCAGTTGAAAATAAGGAAGTACATATGTCCAATGATTAAACTTTTCCACTGCTGTTCACATCATGATTTGTTGTGATTAATGTATGTGGATGAGGACATAGAAAAAGAAAATCATGAGGCTTGTATATATGTGATTTAGTTTTTACACATTGATTTGTCTGTAAATGTTTTTCCTTTAGGAATAAAATTAAAGGGTGCTTTTCTTTGAAAACTTCACTTGTCAGATTTACCTGATCGAGAATTCCAAAGATTTGTATGATATGGTAAGGGGTTTATAAATTCATTAGTATTAAAAAATGAATACAGAGGGTATTATACTCAAATTTTTTTTCTCGGGCCTCCCTGGTGATGCAGCGGGTTAAGCGCAGCACTGTGAAGCTCTCCGCAGCCTCTGCAGTGCAGGTTCGATTCCCGGCCAGCCGGCCAGGGAGATTCCCACATGGCATGGCAGACCTCTCCTGTCTCGCCTGCTGCTCCCCTCAGGAGTAGTTCCGTCGCCTGCCTGTTCTGCTCCCTGCTCTGTCTATGGTGAATCCTCTCACCTTCCCACACCTCTACCCTGTACCCCAGCTCTTGTATAAAAATAAATTTTTTTTTTTTTTAAGATTTATTTATTTATTTATACAAGCACTGGGTAGTCAGGGTGAGAGAATTCACCAGAACCAGAGTCGGGGAACAGAACAGGCAGACTGACGAAATACATTGCTTAGGGGATCAGCAGGTGCGGCAGGAGAGGTCTGTCGCGCCATGTGGGACCCTTGCCGGCGGCCGGGGATCAAACTGGCACTGAAGAGGCTGTGGGCAGCTTCGCAGCCCAGCGCTCAAAACAATGTGCCACCAAGGGAGGCCCAAAATAAATAAATCTTTTTTAAAAATTATTTTTCTTCTCTTAGCTTTTCAAAGATACGGTTTCAAAAATATTTTTTCAAATAGCTTGGTGCAGGATAGACAGGAGGGGTTGGGGTCAGGATGTTAACCTTAGTAGTCAATCTTTTCAACCCGTGAAATTCTTAGAGATTACCTGTCTCCCAGAGTTTGCTGAACTATTGGCTATTCTATAGGTGATTATTTGATATGTCAGTAGATGACCATCGTATAGGCTAAGCTTTGTTCAAGAATAGTAGACAGGCAATTGATTAGGAGGTGGTATCTCAGATCTAACAACAGTTGTCATTAATTTGGCATGTTAATCTTGGGGTGTTTCTCAAATTTGAGAAACAAAAGAAAAATTGTGACTACTCAATGTTGATTTAAGTTTTCTACTTAAAATTTCTACAAACATAAAAGTTGATACATGCTTCATTGATGGCCCTTTAACCTGGAGATTTATAGAATGAATGCATTCAAAAACTATTAAAATGACTTTAATGGGATAGATGTTGTTTTGCAGCAGTAAATATATGCTGGCTCTTGTCAAATAAATTGTGAACACATAACAGTTTTGTTTATTGTGGTGATGGTAATGTTGAACAATCTGATCATCATCAAAGCATTCCAGACTTAACTCTTGCAGTGGTTAGGATTTTTAAATGCGGGGAAGGCACCTAAATTCTCAAAAAGATGTCTTTACACTGCTAGCAAATCCCAATTTGAAGAATTCCACATTACACTGTCTCCAGAACCTTTAATTTCAATGAGTAAGGCAGAGTCTTAGAACTCTTACTCTTTTTGAGAAAAATTTCAGTTTTTATTTGATCCAGGACTAGGCTTGCCTAGTCCTAAAATGGATTAAAAATTGTCTTTTCTTTTTGGATACATGTAACCCTTTTTAGATACATGTATTTTATAGTTTCAACCTCATCAAATATAAATTTTCAGCTTAATTAACACCAGCCCCCCCAACAACACAGTTGAAATTCCAGTTATTATAATATTAACTGAATTGTTGCATAAACTTTGCTGCAAGCTCTTTAGGCCACAAATCACTGTGCCAATAATAAATGAGCATTATGATCAGTGATCAGTTACATCACTTTCAAGGTGTTGATGGGTCACTGAGTATCTGTTCACCTACAAACAGTAAAACATGCTTGTATTGTCTCCTTGTTGCTTAGTGGTAACTCCATGTAACATTTTCCAGATATGACTAATTAGAAGAGGGAATTGTCAACAGAGATGACAGGGCAGCAAATAATCAGAAAGTGAAAAACTGGAAAGTGAAATTGGATTTGGGTGGATGATTTGAAAATCGTAAACAGCAAAGCAAAGATAGGACAAGAACTCAGCCTGCCTGAAGCTACAGTAAGAACCTTATTTTGAGTGTGGTGAATATAAAAAACAAGGCCAAGTTTAAATTGCACTAGGAAGAGAAGGCGGCTTATGGTTGAAGAGGAACATTTAATGCACTTTTTTTTTTTTAATTTTTTTTTTAAGATTATTTATTTATTTATACAAGCACTGGGTACAGTCAGAAGCGCGGGAGGGTGAGAGAATTCACCAGAGCCAGAGCGGGGAGCAGAGCAGGCAGAAGGACCGAAGTACACTGCTGAGGGGAGCAGCGGGCGGCAGGAGAGGTCTGCGTGCCATGTGGGACCCTCCTCCGGTGGCCGGGGAGCAGCCGGGGATCGAACCGGCGCCGCAGAGGCCGCAGGCAGCTTCGCAACCCAGCGCTCAACTGCTGCGCCACCGGGGAGGCCCCATTTAATGCACTTTGGATTAATCAAAACAAATTCCAGTTTGACTAGCATTCACATCAAAGCATTGAAATTAGTTGTTATATTGAAGGAAAATGGTCATAAGAAGAAACTGAAAAAGAACACCTTATTGCTGGTGAAGGCTGCATTCATCATTTCAGAAGTCAGAAGCTGTGTGGTGAAACTGCAAACTCAGATAAGGATGCTACAGTGAAATTTGTACCTGGATACCAAGGACTACAGATAGTCTTTGCATGGTAGTGTGAGATTGTATTGTAAAAACATTTCCCATGATTTGGGTGGATTGTAAATCAAGTTAAAGAGGTTATATATAAGCAACCATGGAATGTTGACACTGCTGCCATTCAAGAAGCAGTTCTAGATATGCAGAAGAGAAAGGTAATAAGAGCAAGCATGATTGAAGAATGCAGTTGTGTTATAAAGGATGAGCAAGTCAAAGTGATGCTGGTGAAAAACTTCACATTAAAGGAACTTTCCAAGATAATTCATGGCATTGAAAGTGCAAGGATAAAATTCTGAAAGATGGTTCAACTTTAGAAAGGAGTGTGACAGTTTGCCAAAGCATAGAAAAGATGCTCGCTCCGTATTGTAAATTTCGAGAAGAAATTACTGTTAAAACTTCTTGATGTTTTTTATAGAGAAATAAAACAGTATGTCAATATTTGTTTCCAATATTGTTTTTACTATTTTTAACTTACAGTCAACACCCAGAGAACTTTTAATATTTTCACAATTTTAAGGTAACATAACAATCAGATTATTAATCCCACAGGTTAAGACTGCTCTGCAATCAACTGGCATAATCAAAGCAAGCACTGCCTGAATTTAAAGCAAGCTGGGAATATTTACATTTAACCAAATAAGTCAAGACTAGAATTGGTTGTATACAAAACCAGTTATAATTAACATTTCATATTGCCTTTTCATGTTATCTCAAGACTTCAAAATAAAAATTTATACTGAATGTCTCATGGTTGAACTTTGAGTATTAATCCATTTGTTGGCAGAATTCTGTGGAATAGAATGGGGGTTAGCAAACATACTATAAAGGGCTATATAGTAAATATGCCTGCATAATAAATATGCTTTGCAGTTGATAATGGTTTCTAGCAACTATTCAACTTTGCCTTTGTACAAAAACAGCCATAGTAAGTGTATGAACTATTGAGCAATGCTGTATTCCTATAAAATTAGATGCTGAAATTTATTTTACATAATTTTTTTATGTCATGAAATATTTTGCCATTCTTAACTCACAGGGCCTACAAAGGGGGAGTAATTAGGAATATATAGCAGACCATTGAATAATGTTTAATGTTGATGAGAAACCAAGCTGAGGTTGAATTAAAGGGTATTATTTAAGGAATTGGCTTCCTGTTTTCCCCAAGTTGCTGTTTCTGAGAATAAGGATATTAAGTGAGGACTTAACAGCTTGACTGTACAGTTGCATTAAGTAATAATCAAAGAATGTAACCACTGTTTGAATCTTTGAGTTTGGGGAAAGTTTTAATGAACTGTTCCTTACCAGGCACAGTTCCAGGCTAGTGGGGATGGCGCAGTTGGCAGTTAAGAGGTTGTCAGACATTTCCTGTTGACTCAAATCGTGGTCCCACTTTTAAACTGGATTTTTATTGGTATCTAAGGAAGCTAGTCCTTGAGCCATAACTAAGAATGGAAGGCCTTTTACAGAAGACTTAACTAGCTATTGTAGCCTAACAATCCACTTGAGCTACTCAGTTCTTCAGAAATAAAGACTTTTAAATTGAACCAATACAGGGTGTTGGAAAGAATGCAATGAATACAAAAATATGCCTACTCTCTAGTACAAACAGAAAATTTGTTGTATTTAATTTTTGTGTGTGTAAAAGAAAGGAAACATCGGTGAAGGTGCTTAGGAAAGGCTTTAGGAAAGGTGGTTGAATGGGGGGTTAACTAGAAGAGAACTGTACTAGAAGTTGAATTCAGGTTGTGGTACTAAACCAGGTGGTTTTCCTGTCTTCCTTTGCTGTAAAATAATTCCTCCCTAACCTAGGAATGAATGCAGGCAACGCATCTAGTAAAATTGCACTGACTGATGGAAATTGCCATGAGATCGCAAATAAGTTATAGTTCATTCCACCATGCGACAAAATTAATTCCACAACAGCCTTTGGGTATGATCTGAGCTTTTCGTTTTAAAGAAGTTACCAAATGCAATACCGTAGAACCAAGTAAGCAATTTTAAGAACACAGGCACAAATTAGTCACTGCAGTAAGGTCCTTGCAGCCCGGTTTTCTAGCGGTCTGTCTGGTGCTGGAGATGTTTCAGGGGCTGCTGACATCATAGGTCTAGCGCTACGTGGCGTTACTTCGGGCGGCCGGTCGTCCCCGGCAAGACAACTACACCCAACAGGGCTTCCCCCTTTTCCGCAGTCCTGGCCCACAGCGGCACCCCGCGCGCAGCTCTTCAACACCGCTTCCTGGTCTTAAAAACGCGCGACGCGCAAATGCGACCCACCAAGCTCGCCGCGCGCCGGGCTGGACCTGGCCGCCGCCCCCGGAAGTGCCGTGGCGGGCGCGCGCCGGAGCGGGCGGGGCGAGGCGTCGCTCCCGGAAGCGTCAGCCGGCTGCGCGGGCGGGGCTGCGGCTGCCACGTTGGAACGGAACGTGGAGGTGGCCCTGGGCCGGGAGGAGGGGCGGTGGCGAATGCTGGGAGTGGCGCCGCGCTAACGCAGGAACCGGTCGCCGAGGGTCCCCGCCAGGTACGTGTGCCTGTTCTCTCCTGTCCTTTTCGCGGCCCTTCGCACCTTGCGAAAGAGCCCGCGCAGCGCTGGGACCCCCGCCTTGGTCTCCGTTGTCCCCGCCGGTCCGCGGCCCGGTCTCTGGAGGCGGCGCGCCCCTCGTCTTCGTTTCAGGCCCAGCAGGACGGCGCTTGGCGTCACTGCTGCTTTGGGAATCGCTCCGGTCGGCGTTCGCCGACGTTACCACTGCGGAGCAGGAGTTCCCCGAGGCTTGCGACGGGTGTCCTGCCTGGGGGTAACTGGGAGCCTGAGGTTAGGAGACCTTCAGACCCTTGTACACAAAGAGGTACGGTCTCCAAGGGCAGGGGAAGGAAACAAGCTACAGGATTCCTTTGGTTGTCTTTAGTTTGGTTAGGATTTTTTGTTTGTGTTTGAACTCTTGCCCGATTTAAAGATTCACAGGTTTTAACTGAAGGCTGTCAATTTTAAAGGTTCTAGTCGCCAATTACAGGTTGTCACCCAAGGAAGTCTCATTAAGTGTTAGATGTTTTTGCAAATAAGTTATTATAATAAGAGGGTAAATTTCCGGACCAGTACAAAATAAATGAAAATATTGCCTTGGTTTGTGGGCATTCAAAACTTTTCAAGGAACTCAAGGAACTCATTTTACTTCTCTCTTCCGAAGTTGTAATGGTCTGTCACAAATTCCTCCTCCTCAACTTTCTTTTCTAATTACAGAAAATTGAGATTTGATTGTTTTTATCAGCAACTGTACTTGTATTTAATCAGTAATCACGTCCTTGCATCTACTATCCTACATTTTCTGTACCTACGGATTGTTCTAGAGTTGGCTAGAGTTTACTCAGTTTTTTTTTAGTGATTCGTCTGTGCTCCTCCTTTCTCATCCTTTAATTACAGCACTGGATAAGCTGTAGTTAGACATCCAAGGGTATTGGAGAAATGTGAGCTTTGGAATGGATTTAGAATTATTCTGCATAATTATACGTGAGAGGTTTTTTTTTTTTTTTTTTTTTTTTTTTTTGGAAACTAATAAATTAAGGCTAGAAAGAAATTTGTAACCTGTACAGAGCAATAATTCTTAACCTTTTGGGATTCCATTTCCTTTTGAGGACCTGATGAAAGCATTGGATCTTCCTAGAAAAGAGCACATACACATATAGGATTTTCAGTGTATTTTCGTGAGGTTTACAAATTCCAAGTTAAAGTCCTTGAAGGTGAGATTATTAAATTAAATTTTACATTGTATTTAGAAATGTTGTCATTTCTGGGTTAATTTCAGCTCAAAAAGTTTTATTTATTAAGACTGCAGATGTGTATGTATTTAATTCAGTAACCAATTTATATTTTCCCCTTTGATTTAGTTTTGATTGAGTGAGATGCGTCTAGAACATTAATAATAGTAAATAAATCCTCTAGAACAAATGTGCCAAACCATCATGAGATATTTTTTCAAACACAGGATGGATATTTCACTAAAGGGAGTGCCAGCTTGGGGTTGGGGGGCTGGGGGTTGACAAAGATTCTGCCTTGTTATCTCCTTAACTTTCCTTTCCAAGGTAGAGTTAGCACTATATGTAACGTTGTAGGGTTGATGTTTTTTTAGAGACTAGGTTGGGTTTTAGAATTACTTTATAAAAATTAGCATTTAGAAAATGAGCATAAAGAAAAAAGTTTTCACTTAATTACTTGCAGTTATTGTAGGAGACAATAATTGGGACATAAATTTTCTTCAGTTGCTAAATGTAATCTTAAAGATTCATTGAAAAAGGCTTGTAATTCAATGTTAAATTATGACTTTGGTAATAGCTGACATTGACAAGCGTTGCTTTTATTGTGTGCTAGGGACTATTCTAATCACACTAATGCCACCATTCATTCTCACTACAACTCTATGTCATAGATACATTCATTCTTATTTTACAAAGGGGGTAACTTCAACACACATAAAGTGACATCACTGAAGTCTGAGCTAGGACATGGTGGAGGTGGGATTTAAATGGATGATGTTGACCCAGACTCCATGCTCTTAACTGGTGTCCTATATATATATTGTTTTGTAGTTGGCTTATGCGAACAAGTCATTTTTCAGTTTCCCTTTTATATATACAGTGATTACATTCTGTGTAAAATAGCTTTGAATAAAAACAAATCTGCATAGCGTGACTTCTAGTCACATATATTATTGGAAAAAATATACAAAACTTTTAAAGTAAGTCTCACTTGGGAAGTGTACACATGGTTTAACTGAAACCTTCATTTTTTTTTTATTACAACATGACGACTGTTATTTTATCGTTAATTTATTTTTTAATTAATTTTTTAAATTTTTTTACATCATTGTTCATTTTTAAACAATATTTGCTTCCAACCCCTCAGGTGTAGTCCCCATAGAATTTCCTTCACCAATGCCCCGGTGCACCATCATGTCAGTCCCCTGTGCTCCTCCCTCCCTCTGTTCCCTCTCCCTCCTCCTCTGCAGGATGTCTCTGATTTATAATTGTCTGTTCTTGCTTTGTTGTGCTTTGTACTGTTGTTATTTTTATACACTGGTGTCTTATCTGGTCCCCCTGTATTCCTGCTATAAGTGAAACCATGCGATATTTTTCTTTTTCCTTCTGGCTTAATTCCTTCTAGCTCCATCTACGTTGCTGCAAACGGCATGAGTTTATCTTTTTTGATAGCTGAATTGTAGAAATATACCACATCTTGTTGATCCAGTCATCTATTTTTGGGCATTTGGGTTGAAACCTTCATATTTTCAAGAAAATTAGTTACAACTTAATGGACAATCATGCATCCAGGTAAAGCTGTACTTCCAGAGCATTCTTAGTGATTTTGAAAATGGTTGAAATCAGTATTCATTTAGATTCAGATCACATAATGTAGTTACAGACCATTGTTGTAGTATAATGATTTATTTTGTTTTTTACAAATGGCATTAAAGCCTTGTGTTCAGTACAGTATGGGTTAATAAGTAGAATTGCTTCTGGTGGAACATCAGACTAAGAGGGCCAAGCAATAAATTTCTATAAATGCTTTGAATTCCCATTTAACTATTTCATGTTTTTGTGAATTTGTCTCTCTTTCAGTAAGTGTTACTCATTAACTATTAAGTAGCCCTTGTACCTTTGCTCTTAAAGATACTAACATTCAATGTTTTCTCTTGACAAAACTTTCCCCTATTTTTTTTTTTTAAGATTTATTTTTATTTATACAAGAGCTGGGGTACAGGCTAGAGTTGCGGGAGGGTGAAAGGACTCACCAGAGACAGAGCGGGGAGCAGAACAGGCAGACAGAGCAAAAGCACGGCTGAGGGGAGCATCGGGCAAGACAGGAGAGGTCTGCTGCGCCATGTGGGATTCTCCCTGGCCGGCAGGGAATCGAACCGGTGCTGCAGAGGCTGCAGACAGCTTCACAGCATTGCACTCAACCCGCTGTGCCACCGGGGAGAACCCCTATTTCTTAAATAGGAAGAGATCCTTTGAACAGTTAAGGACTTAAAAATCAATTTTTTTACCCAAAATTGGTCTTTGTAGCACATTAATATGTCTACCTCACCTGTACTAAGCAATTTTGAGTCCAAGAAAGGGTAAAAGTTATAACACTTGATTGAAAAGGACATTGTCTAGTTAGTGATACAAGATGACATATAAAAGTTTTTAAAAAAGAATGGGAAAAAATGTAAATAGCATGTACTAGTGAAATGTTATAAAGTTTTATTAATATAGAATAAGATCTTTCCATAAATGCTTAAAGTAATATAGGCAAATATAAACAGTTAAGAGATTATTTAGATCAGAGTGGATTGAGTCATCAGGGCAAAGTTCATGAAGAAGCTGGGATTTGAACTTACTAAAGACTAGGTTGGCCGGTTGGCTGAGAGGAAGAAAAGGCATTTCATATAAACAAAATAGGCCCCTTTTCATGTCCTAGAAAATTGCTGTTTCTTCTTTTTTTCTGAATAATCTTAGGAAGCTGGATGTGCAGTTTTCTAGATTAAATTCATGATAGTAATAGTTTTTAAAAATAGTTATCACTTTACATGTTAACATATGTGCTTGGCACTGTGTTTGGCTCTATAAAATACATTGTCTCATCTAAACCTCACAAAATTCCATGAACAGTCGCTCTTTGTTTTTGAAGATTTATTTTTATTTATTTATGCATATAAAAATTGGGGTGTAGGCCAGAGGTGTGCGGAGTAGCGGGATGGTGAGATGATTCACCAGAGACAGAGTGGGGAACAGAACAGGCAGATCTACTGAAATACACTGCTGAGGGGAACAGCGGGAGAGACAAGAGAAGTCTGCTGCACCATGTGGGTTAGCTTCCTGACCAGGGTTCAAACTCATGCCCCAGTGGCTGGTAATAGCTTTGATAGCTCTGAGACTTTAACCTCTGTGTCGCCAGGGAGGCCCCAAGGTAGTCACTCTTATACACATTTTGCTAATGTAGAGGTGGGCTCAAAGAAGTTAAACAGTGTGTCCTAGGTCTCATAAGTAGCAGAATCCATGTTCAATTCAAGGAGAGATTCCAGAGACCTGCTTTTGACCATGTGATTCAACCTCCCAATCCCATATTCAACCTCCCAGTGCCCACCTAGTACAGTTTTTCTAAAATACATTTCTTCTTTTCTTTACTTCATCATGCATTATAGTTGCTTTGCCATTAATTATTTCTTCATTATATTAATTTTTTTTTCTCTGATTAAAAATTGAATACCTGAACTTGTAGTAACAAGAGCTTGGACTCTGGAACTAAACTTTGGAGTTCAAATCTTAACTCTTCCCTTTCCTAGTAAGTACAAACTATTTAATCTTTCTGTGCCTTAATATTGTAAACAATTTGAACACCTAAGACTCAAGGTATATTGTTACTCTAAGACCTCTTAAAAGAAACCACTAGCAGATAAATTTCATCTTCTAGAGTAAGAAAACTGGCAAAACTCCTATTAGAGAGAATTAATTATATTTAAATATATAAGGCTGAAACAAAAGTGGGAATAAAGAATAAAATGTACATATTAAATAGCTGGTAATAAAGGGATAGGTTCAAAAGTATTTAAAAATTATGAGTACTAGGAAGTAGAAAATTAGAAATAGAATAGCTTAATGGATTGCCTCATCTGTAATGACTACAAATCAAAGGACATCATTTTAAGCTGACAAATCAGTGGAAGTATAAATATACTTAACAGTACAAAGGTAAACACTGAGAAAGATAATACTTGACTAGTACTGTGTAGTACAAGAGGGACAGTAAGATTATACAAGCTAATTTCATTAGTGCAGTTAGTAGTAGTAACTAGAAAAATAGAGTAGTGTTATTAAAATGAAATTGTGATAGAATTGAAAACAACATCTGTCATATCAGTGACCTTAGCTAACCTATTTAAAGGTTTTCGAATCAGGTTTCTCAGTAAAATCTGATTTTTTTTTTCCTTTGTGCTATGTTTAAGGTAGACAATGAAAACAAAATAGTTCAAAAGTTCAGTAGGGCAAAACTATAAAGTAAAGGCAAATAAAAAGAAAACTAGGGTGTTAATTTGAAGCAAAATGGATTTCAGGCCCAAAGGCATTATTTAAGAATACTTCACAAAACTAAAATGTGTATTAGATAGTGAACATTTAACATTATGGATCTACCAAATAACCTTATTAAATAACAAAGTAATTTTCATAAGGCATGTTTCAGGGCTATTAGGAGAAATCAGGTGCAAATGTACTAGTAGCACAGTAGTAGGAGATGTTTTGTTCATTGTTCTTATACCAGGATAGATCTAGTGGGGGACGAGAGGGATAAGGATATAGAATTAACCATGCAGTCAGTAGGGTAGATTTGATTAAAATATATTGAATTCAGCCCTGAAAATACATAGCATCTCTTCTTTTTAGGCCTCATGAAACATTCACAGAACTGGATCTATGTATATCTCAGATCAGAAAATCATGCTTGGTAATGATACAGAAGGTTTTCCCATTAAAGAAAGAAAGAGAGAAGAAATTTCACTGTTACTACTATGATGCAGTATGGTATTACAAATTCTGGCCAACTTGGCAAGAAAGAAATTAGAGAAGTAATTTGAAATGAGAAATATTGGCATATGGTATATGAGTGAGTATGTGTGTAAAAAACCCAACAGAATCTACAGGAAAACGGGCCTCCCTGGTGGCGCAAGGGGTTAAGACACAACCTATGAAGCTGTCTGCAGCCTCTGCACAGAGCACAGGTTTGATCCCCCAGCCCGCCAGGAGGCAACCCACATAGCACAGCAGACCTCTCTTGAGTCTGCCGCTGCTCCCCTCTGCAGTGTACTTGGGTCAGTCTGCCTGTTCTGTTCCCCACTCTGTCTTTCCTCCTCTCACTAGGAGTAGTCAACATTGTATCGATTCATCATAAAATAGAATACAAATAAAACATTTTCTTTTTTCTAGAATTAGATAAACACTTTTCTAACGTTTATATTGTATGTAAATGATAGGCAAATCAATAAACTTTGAGGGAAAAATGTTTATATAGTAAAATAAGCCATCAGTATTAACAAGGAAAGAGGTGGGGAGGGGACGAGTGGATAGGGGTTATTCAAGTCATACTCAGATCAAGCCTTCTTTTTTTTTTTTTTAAGATTTATTTATCCATTTATACAAGCACTGGGTACAGTCAGAAGCACGGGAAGGCGAGAGAATTCACTGGAGCCAGAGCGGAGAGCAGAACAGGCAGACTGACGAAGTACACTGCTGAGGGGAGCAGCGGGCGGCAGGAGAGGTCTGCGCGCCATGTGGGACCCTCACCCGGCGGCCGGGGATCAAACTGGCGCTGCAGAGGCTGCGGGCAGCTCCGCAACCCAGCGCTCAACCACTGCGCCACCGGGGAGGCCCAAGCCTTCATTTTTTTTTTTGAGCCTTCATATTTAAAACTCTAGAATGCTTAACATGTAGACAGACAAATGGATACAAGGATGGAAATCCAGAAATAAACCTAAATTCATGCAGGAATGTAAATCCTAATTCCTGTAAATAGCCCTACCTACATATAGGAATATAAACCTAAATAATTAACCCACAAATAAATCTAAATATGTACAGGAGTTCAGTGCATGATAAAGGTAATATCTAAAGTTAGTAGGGAAAGATAGACTGCTCAATAAATAACTTTGGGGTAATGAAATAAAATTTGAAAATATACTCCAGGATATACTCCAAATCAGTCAAAATTTTAATGCAAAGAGTAAACTGTATATGAATTTGCCAGAACTAAAATAAGGATGAATTTCTTCATAACCTTGGCAGGCAGGAGACCTCTCTAGTTAATCAAAATTCAGAAACTGTTTTTTAAAAGTGAAAATGTGATTATAAATTAAAATGGAACACCCATAAATGGAATATTTTTCAGTGCTAAAAAGAAATAAATCATCCAAATCCTAGAAATCTGGCTGCAGAAATGAGGCCACCAGAGGGATAGGTGGATGGAGAGTAAAGAGAAGGGGACCCACTGGATTATGGCAGAGGATTACTGGGGTTTTGGTGGTAGGTAATGTGTAGTAACATAGATTTGAAGAGGTATGGATCTATACCCCTAAATCATATACCGTGTTGTAAGCCAACATTAGTACCTCAATAAGAAATAATAAATATGGGCCTCCCTGGTGGCGCAAGGGATTAAGCATCAGCACTATGAAGCATTCTGCAGCCACTGCAGCACCGAGTTCAATCCCTGGCCAGGGAGGTGACCCATATGGCGCAGCAGACCTATCCTGTCTTGCTTGCTGCTCCCCTCAGCAGTGTATTTCAGTCAGTCCGCCTCTTCTGTTCCCCACTCTGTCTTTGATGAATCCTCTCACCCCACCCCCCGTCACACCTCTGGCATGTATCCCAGTTCTTGTATACATAAATAAATAAATCTTAAAAAAAAAAAATAGAATTTAACAAAAGGGGGGGAAAATGAGCTGTCAGGTCACAAAAAACATGAAGCTACCTAAAATGTCAGTTGTTAAGTGAAAAGCCAATCTGGAAAAGGCTTTATATTGTATGATAATAGCTAAATGACATTCTATACAAGGCAAAACTATGGAGACAGTAAAAAGATCAGTAAGAAGTGACAGATGAAAACAGGGATGAATGAGTAGACACAGAATTTTTAGGACAGTGAATCTTCAGAATGATACTGTAACTGTAAATAGCTCTAATAAAATCTTTAAAAAATAAAAATCATGTGAAAGGTAAAAAAATATTGTAAGTAAAATAAAAAATGAAGTCTGACAACATAATTGGAAAATGGGCAAATGATATAGATACAAATAGACAAAAACAATGACAGAGAAGGAAATGTGGATTCACCATAATCAAAAAAATAGTTTTCAACATTTTAGTATGAGAAATGCAAATTGCAAATGTACTGAGCTAAAGTTTTCACCATGATAGGTTGATAAAAATCTTTAAGTGTTACTCTATACTCCAGTGAGACTAAATAGGACAGCGGCTACTCATGTATTACTTTCCTGGATGTGAAGAGGTACAGTTGCCATGACGGGCTGTCCTTCAAGATTAAAATTGCATTTATGTTGTACCCCAGCTGTTTTACTTGTGGAAATTTCTAGCAATCCCTGTCCATGAATGTAGTAACATGTACATTTGATGATCTACTTCAGTGTTGTTTGTAAAAAGTAGCAAAAGATTAGAAATAACTTGCATGTTCATTAGTCACCAACTAGGTGATTAAATTATGGTACATCTTAGCGTGAAGAACTGCCATGTGAATGCATTTATGTAAAATAACATTCTTTTTTGAAGCTAGAGCTCAGGACCTCCTTAATTTTTCTACCAAGGTAAATTTAACAGAATATATATGGTATTATGTGGAATTGTATGTTGGTGTGACCATTTTTTGAAATTTTTTTGGTTTATCTTTATTTATTTTTTCAAGATTTATTTTTTATTTATTTATACAAGCATTGGGTATAGTCAGAAGCGCGGGAGGGTGAGAGAATTCACCAGAGCCGGAGCAGAGCAGGCAGAAGGACCGAAATACACTGCTGAGGGGAGCAGCGGGCGGCAAGAGAGGTCTGCGAGCCATGTGGGACTCTCCTCCGGTGGCCGGGGAGCAGCCGGGGATCGAACCGTTGCGGCAGAGGCTGCGGGCAGCTTCGCAACCCAGCGCTCAACCGCTGCCCACCGGGGAGGCCCTGGTTTATCTTGAAAAGCTACCGATTTAATAACTATATTCTCTGCAATTAGTTTGTTCTTATTTAAAATTAATTTTTAAAACTGCTGTTATCTGGGCCTCCCTGGTAGCATCAGGGTAAAGGCTCAGTGCTATCACTGCTACAGCCTGAGTTTGAGTTTGATCCCTGGCCAGGGAGCTGACCCACATGGTGCAGCAGACCTCTCCTGCCTCTCCTGCTGCTCCCCTCAGCAGTGTATTTCAGTGGATTCGCCTGTCCTCTCCACACTGTATCTCTGGTGATTCCTCTCACCCCTGGCTTACGCCCCAGCTCTTGAATGCATAAATAAAGTAAACCTTTAAAACAAGAAACTTATCATTAGGTAATCCTCCTCTAGGAAGTTCTACCTTGTTTGTTTAATTATTTAAAAAATTTTTTAATACATCGTTCATTTTTGTACAATATTTGATTTCTCCCCTCAGGTGTAATCCCCATAAATCTCCCTTCATCACCTTACCCATGAGCCATCACCATTGCTACTTGTGCTCTTCCCTCCCTGTTTTGACCCCCTCCCTCACCCTCCCCTGCTGTATCTCTCAGATCTATAATTTGCCTGCTAGTTTTGTCTATTTTTTCCTTTGTATCTTATTTATTATGTGCCTTCTCTAGCACCTGATTATACTGCCAACCATCTTTTCTAAGAAGCATATTGTGTAGCAAGGTTAATTCCTCATACTATCCTCTATTGTTTTGCAAGATCTAGACTAATTTTTGAGTTGAAGGACTCTATAAACACTAAAACATTAAAATGGTCCTAAATTTATCTCATATAATTTGACAAATTACTTTTCTTTTTAATATTGAATATCCCAACAAATGATTTCTAAACCAATTTGATGTATTGGGGTATTGGGTTATTACTAATAATGTAGTGGTTTGACCAGTATATTTCTCTGTTAAAAGTGGTTCTGTATTCTGTGTTACATGTTCAGTATATGTCTATGTAAAATATTTTCTTAGCAGGATGAAGTTAAAAGAAGTAGATCGTACTGCCATGCAGGCATGGAGCCCTGCCCAGAATCATCCCATTTACCTAGCTACAGGTGAGTTCAAAAGAGAGAAGATAGTATGAATCACCTAATTTCTTCTCTTCTCTATCTGACCTGTTCATACCTGTCCATAATTTAAGATTCAATTCAAGTTTCATTTTCTCTAGAAGCCTCTTTTTTTCCCTGGAGAGATTCCTCCATTCCCCTTATCAGCCGAGTTCATTGATCTTCCTCTGTGTTCCCATATCACCTTGTACATTATAGCACTAATCATTTATGTGTTAGAGCACTAATCATTTATGTATGTGTGTACATACACATGCGTAGCCTTTATAGTGTCTTCCCCACTTTACAGAATGTGTTTTATCGTTATTGCTACAGTATTGAGCATTGATATATCATATGCAAAAGAAGTTAATAAATATCAGTTTGAATGAAGAACATTTTGATGAGTGATGAACATTTTACATAAAAAGAGTTGGAGTTACATTATTTGTGACTATAAGCAGGGACTGTTTATACAGAGAGCTTTTATAATAGCTACACTTTTTATGATATCTGAAATACAACTTTATTCTGATTCTAAACAAAAAAGGAATGTGAATGACAATAGCAAACAAGATTTTATCCCTTGAATATTGTGATGACTGTAGTAGTCATACATTTGAAATTTAAAAAGGAAACAAGTTTCAAAACAGCTAAATATTACAGGGCCAAGAAATTAAGGGGTTTTTTGTTTGTTTGTTTTTTTAACTGCCACATTCACTCCAAAGCCCATTCATCTCCATTAGCATTCCAAAGATTAAGCACCGTGAACACACTACACCACTGACAGCACAGGACAGTCTGTAAAACTAGGCTTCTGGTGCTGGGCTCTAGCTCCAGCCTGTTCTCAGAGGTTATTTTACCTGGGGAGCAGTTGCCTAAGGATCCTCTAAATCATGTTCATGTTGTGCTGCCACAGCTGGGTCTGTGACAACTTCTGGTGGGGCAAAAGCAGGCATAGCAATGAACTCCACATTAGGGTCTCCAGTTGGTTTTCCAGCAAGCCAAGGTAGCACTTTTCAAGTTATAGTAACTTTTGACAGAAATGTCACTGAAGAATCATTATTCAGAGGAAGACAGACTTGTCTGAACTTTCCTGTTCTTGACACCCATCTTGTTGCCATATAGTTCAATAGAGATGTTTTCATGTATTTCTTCCACATCTCTGTGCTTGCTAGGCCAACTCTTGATACTGTATCAACAAAATGTCATGTTGGGTATGGACTTAACAGATATCTCTTAGTTCACCAAATTTTTCCTGACCAGCTGTAGCCCACATGTTGAACTTTAATAGGCCCATTATTGGTATGAAACACTGAGAGGTAACACTCAACACCCAAGTTAGCTACATACTTCTCAATTCACTGATCAAATGATGTTTCACAAATGTAGTTATTCCAGTACCACTACTACCAGTCAATACAGTTTTGAACTTAATTTGGGACAACCATTTTGTTGTTATTTCCAGAAGGATATCTGGGCCTTTCTGACTCCTATGAGCTTCAAAAATGATTTGCGTTACCCACTCTTTCAACCATAATCTCTGAACCTTGTATCAGAATCACATTGCTATAGTAAATTAAGCATCTGCTCAATAGCATATGTGTTGAGGTTTCAGCCACTGTTGCAGCATTCATGAATGAGATCACTGATAACATGCATTTTATGTTTTATAATGATTTTCTCTGAGTCATCTGTTTTTGCAAATGTAATTACTATAAGTGCATTTTCTATAGGAACATCTGCTCAGCAGTTGGATGCAACATTTAGTACCAATGCTTCCCTTGAGATATTTGAATTAGACCTTTCTGATCCATCCTTGGATATGAAATCTTGTGCTACTTTCTCTTCTTCTCACAGGTATGAGATTCAACCTCAAATTCATTTGTTTATTTAATTACATATTGTGATTGTTGCTTAGTTTATATATGTATGTCATTATTAGAAACTGCAAGAAACATCATTTATGACATGAAACATTAATGAGTAAATTTCTGTGGAAGTAAAAGAAGTAGTTCTCTGTGTTTTTGAACTTTTATAGCTGATTATTATGTTTAAAATAGGAAATAGAAGCTCCAATTTCTAGTAGTTTTTTATGTATAATAGAGTTACTTTCTATCTCCTTTATTTTACCTATTTATAAAAAGAGATAGGTATGGACTTCCCTGGTGGCGCAGGGGTTAAAGTCTCAGCGCTATAAGCTGTTGCCAGCCACTGCCGCATGAGTTCGATTCTTGGCCAGGTAGCTAACCCATATGGCACAGCAGACCTCTCCTGTCTTGCCCACTACTCCCCTCAGCAATGTATTTCAGTAGATCTGTCCATTCTGCTCTTCATTCTGTCTCTCATGAATCCTCTCACCTTCCCTCACCTCTGGCCTACAGCCCAGTTCTTGTATGCATAAATAAATTTAAAAAAAAGAGGTAGGTATGACTAGAAAAAGTAGTTGGGTGCTGATTAAGGTGTTAATAGTATTAGTGGATAGGTTATTGTTTTCTTTATACTTACCTATATTTAAAAACATACTTTACAGCGAGTTTTGTTGACATATTTCTGATACAGTTTGGGTTTTCAAATCACCTTCCCAAGTACTTATGGTTATTATAATGCAGAGGAAGAACACTTTCATTTGAGTTGTAAAATGTGCTTCAATAACTTGGCAAATATTGGGTGAGGAGATTGTATATTAGTTAACAGAATACAATTCAAATCATGGATTCTTGTGGGAGCTCTCATAGTCATCAGAGCTGTGATGCGATATGCCTGCATTATGATAGGATCCCTAGATAGTTTTTGTCTAGCAATTTTCCCTCATCTGTCTCACCATATGCCTTCTTGTTAACTTCATATTTCATCCATAATCTTTTTTTTTTAAAGATTTATTTTATTTATGCATACAAGAACTGGGGTACAGGCCAGAGATGTGGGGAGTGAGAGGGTTCACCAGAGAGTGGGGAGCAGAACAGGCAGATCTACTGAAATACACTGCTGAGGGGAGCAGTGGGTGAGACAGGGAAGGTCTGCTGCACCATGTGGTTTGCTCCCCGGCTGGTCAGGAATAGAATTCGTGCTCCAGTGGCTGCCAATTGCTTGATAGCGCTGTTTTTTTTTTGTGTGTGTGTGTGTTTTTTTTTTTTAAAGATTTATTTATTTATTTATACAAGCACTGGGTACAGTCAGAAGCACGGGAGGGTGAGAGAATTCACCAGAGCCAGAGCGGGAAACAGAACAGGCAGACTGACGAAATACACTGCTGAGGGGAGCAGCGGGTGGCAGGAGAGGTCTGCGCACCGTGTGGGACCCTCGGCTGGCAGCCAGGGATCGAACCAACGCTGCAGAGGCTGCGGTTAGCTTTGCAACCCAGCGCTCAACCGCTGTGCCACCAGGGAGGCCCGATAACACTGTCTTTAACCCCTGCGCCACCAGGGTTAAAGACACTATTTATTTCTATTTCCTATTTTAAACATCAGCTATAAAAACACCACTTTTTTTTTTTTTTTTTTTTTTTGGCATAGATGAACAGGATGTAGGCCAGAGATACAGAGGGTGAGAGGATTCACCAGAGACAGAGTGGGGAGAAGAATAGTCGGATTTACTGAAATACACTGTTGAGGGGCGATGTGGGTGAGACAGGTCTGCTGCGACACATGTGGGTTAGATCCCTGGCCAGAGATTGAACTCAGGCCACAGTGGTGATAGTGCTGAGACTTAACTCCTAGGCCACTAGGCAGGCCCCATCCATAATTTTTTATTCTCCATCAGTAGGGGAACTTGTCATAGTAGACATACTTTTGATGTTACTTTTACTCTCAGGATCTCAGTATTTTTCTTAGAAAATTTCAGTTGGTTCCATTGACACCTTTATATTCAACAAACCACTTGGTGATTACTTTTGTAGTCAAATAAAATCAAGGGAAGTGATTGATTAGCTCTATTTTACCAATGAATCAAAAGTAGCTTGGGGGGCCTCCCCGGTGGCGCATTGGGTTGAGCGCAGCGCTATGAAGCTATCGTGCAGCATGAGTTCGATCCCCAGCCAGCCAGGGAGATTCCCACATGGCATGGCAGACCTCTCCTGTCTTGCCCAGTATTCCCCTCAGCAGTGTATTTTGGTCCTTTTGCCTGTTCTGCTCCCCACTCTGTCTCTGGTGGATTCTCTCACCCTCCCGCACCTTTGGCCTGTACCCCAGTGCTTGTATAAATAAATAAAATCTTTAAAAAAAACCCAAAACAACAAAAGTAGCTTAGAAAGATTTAGTAATTTGCCCAGATTCTCACAGTTTCTAAATGGTAAAACCAAATTAAGCTCATATATGAGACACAAAAATCAAGTATACTTTAAAATTATATTTACCACTACAAAGAGTTTTACTCCTTAAATATAGTCAGACATTCACATGAGTATAAAAAAACTAAAACGCTGTTTCACTAAATCCTGCAGTGTTACCAGGAATGGAGGAGATGCAGTGTTTCTGGAATACTTACGAAAATAAACTAAGTACATAACTTCAGATTCTTTTCTGTATATATTTGACTTTATAAATGAGTCATTTTACTCATTTTCTCTTAAAGGTACCACAAATTGATTTGGGGCCCTCATAAAATGGATTCCAAAGGAAATACTTCTGGAGTTTTAATTGCAGGTGGTGAAAATGGAAATATTATTCTTTATGATCCTTCTAAAATTATAGCTGGAGACAAGGAAGTTGTGATTGCCCAGAATGACAAACATACCGGCCCAGTGAGAGCCTTGGATGTGAACATTTTTCAGGTCAGGCTTTGGCATTTATTCATTATTTTTGAGCTGTGTGCTATTTATTTGAAATAAATACATGAATCTACTATTCATCAATGTAGGACTTGGCAAATTCAGTTCCTGCTGGTTGATGAGTGAGTATTTATTTGAAGAATGAAGTGTTCAGAGTTGGTTTCAGGGTGAATAGTACCAAATACATGGTGGGGATTAAGCTCTTGGGGTTAATTCTAGAGGTAGAAGATGGATGTCATACTATCTAGTTGAACTTTAGGAGTCCCAAAGGTAGGAAATTTTGCCTTTTAAAAGTTTGTGCTATTCAGCGCTAGGCTAGTGCTGTGATGTCTGGGTTAATCCTGTGCTTTTTTTAAAAGAAATTTTGTAATTATGACAAAGAGATTACTACTCGTATCAAATAATTAGACATTATACATAAATTCAGCACAAATTTAATGACTAAGAGTCTCTTACTGTTGCTCTCAAACATGTTGAATATTAATTGTATAAATATATAGGTTAATGAACATCTTGAATTAATAGGATACTAAAGTATAAAAGCCAAAAAATAAAATTTAAGAAAGTTTGAAGTAGTTATTTTTACTGTATTGTAAGTAAGTACTTATGATATAAAAATACACAAATCCAGCCTTTCTTTGTACAGTTTATGGAGTCTACTCTTTTGCTTACATAGCTAGTTCCTTTGTTAATTGAATTAAACAGCTGCTGATTTTTGGTTGAAGTGTCATTTATTGTAGGTGACAACTACCGTAGAATTCCTCCATTTTCCTGGTTATGTGTCAGTTGATCAGGAAAGAATATATGAGTGAACAAAGGATCAAGGTCACTATATGCAACTCATTGTCATCCTGTACAGATTTAGCATCTTTTTGACCCTGAAGGTACAAAAGAGATAAAATAAGAATATTGCTACCTAGAATAGGATTAATTATAACTATATTAGAAATATTTGAAGTGTTAAGACAGGAAATTTTACTAGCTGTATTTTTGGTCTGACTCCAGAAGCTGGCTTTGACATATCCTAGGATAGATGCCATTATTTGAGAGTTCATTTATTTGTCTGAAAGCAATAATTGGTGGCCTTTTTTGTCTCCCACAGCCAGATCCCCTTCCAGAGATGCAAAACCACAAACGATAATTCCCATATGGTTGCATGATTAAGAATTTATTCATGTAATTATTTTTAATGTCTTATTTTAAAATGTCAGTAGAACAATTATTTTAGTTAAATAGAAATGTTTCTCTAAAAAAACTATTTAAATTCAAATTGTCATACATAGTATTCTTGTTTTGCTTTTTTAATTAAATAGAAAAATTATATGTTCTAAAACATACAGATCTTTCCAGGTCTGAACTGAGTTATTCTAAGTTCACTTAATTATTTGCAAGTGCTATTTAGTCTTTTATTATTTCTGATTGCAGACTAATTTAGTAGCCTCTGGTGCTAATGAATCTGAAATCTACATTTGGGATCTAAACAATTTTGCAACTCCAATGACACCAGGAGCCAAAACACAGGTATTACATTAATTTCATGTAATTAAAAGAACCCAAATCAGTTCTACACTTGTTATTTCAGTTGTTTTTCACAAAAAGTATATTTGTTTAAAATCAGCATTTAGATATTGTTGTCTTCCCTTCAGCATCTCAAAGTATTAATAAACTTGTTTCTTCAAAGTATCAGTGAGTCCTTCAACAGCGAATACTTATTCATTGAGTACCCTCTAACAGACAGTAGTCAGTGTTTACGCAGTAGTGAATAAAATGGACAAAAGTCCTTACTAATTTTTCCAGATATTTGATATAGTACTAGATATAGAAAAGTAGTGCAATAATACCTAACCTGCAATAAAACTCAGAATGGAATAGAAATTTATTTAAAAAACAAAAACCTCCTTATATATTTCTAATAAGCTGAGAAAGAACATTTTTCCCCCTGCCTTTTTGCATAGACTACTAGATTTGAGTAGCTGTTATAACTGCCACTAACGTTTTGGCAATCTGAGAGATAACATAATGATAGCACATAGCATACCATTTATAAAGTTATTTTTCTAATAGCTTAGCCTGTCATTTTTGCCTTCCTACTTTTCCAGTGTATTGATCAGCATCTACTCTGTGGTCTATTATCTATCTTGTGACAGTTACAAAATCAGCAAGGTTTGATTTTTAATAGGAGCCTAATAAATGACTGTTGAATGAGACAGTATTAAACAAGATAAAATATTTTTGTTAAAAAGACTTATTTATTTATGCATAGAAGATCTGGGGTGTAGGCCAGAGGTGCGAGGAATGAGAAGATTCACCAGAGACTGAGTGAGGAGCAGAACAGGCAGATTGACTGAAATACATTGCTGAGGGGAGCAGCGGGCGAGACAGGAGAGGTCTGCTGTGCCATATGTGGCTTAGATCCCTGTCTGGAGATCAAATGCAGGCTATAGCAGTGATAGCTTGATAGCTCTGAGACTTAACCCTTTGGGCCACCAGGGAGGCCCCAAGAGAAAATCTTGAATTGGCATATATCTGAGCTTTAACCTATTGTGTACATTTTGAAAACTTTGGAATATATAAAGCACATTTGTGGAATGAATAGATAGATTTCTAAGTAATCCATTTTGTTTCATGAAGAATCAGATTTTGTAGTTAAATTTAATTATAATTGAGAAGTGTTTTTTTAAGAGTTTATTCCTTATAGCCTGCAGAAGATATCAGCTGCATTGCATGGAACAGACAAGTTCAGCATATTTTAGCATCGGCCAGTCCCAGTGGCCGGGCCACTGTATGGGATCTCAGAAAAAATGAACCTATCATCAAAGTCAGTGATCATACTAATAGGGTAAGTATATGATTGATGTGTGATGAATACATATTTTTGCTATAGTTATTATGAATATAGGTATTCTTACATTGTCATAATTGGCAACAAATCAGATTTCTATGAAGTTAAGTTCTATTTTCATTGCCCAGTATGTTAGAGTGAAAGGTTTTATTCCTTGAGGAAAATAATACAAAAATAACAATAAGTCATGTTGGATAATACTGGTGAAGAGAGAATTTGATAAATTATGGGGCTTATACTGGTGGTGGGTTTTTGTTTTGTTTTGTTTTGTTTTTGCTAACTATTTCAAATAATTACAGCAACTCTCTAATTAATCTTTAACTTTCTTTAGAATGTACAGAGTTTTCCTGCTGCTAATTTTGTGATGTGTGAACTTGTAGTTTCCAAACTCCTGACTTCATATTTTCTGATTGGTACTGTGAAAGTGAGCTAATATCTTTCTCCCACTTGCCCATTTAATTTTTAGCCTTACAAATTTTATAGCTATAAAGTAATTTAGATGCAATTTAGGGGACCTTGTTTTGTTAGATTATTTTTAAATACTTTGTTTAGTTTGACATTTCAAAAATGAATTTGCCTGGATTAGAGAACACATGCAAAATTTTAAAACGACGACAAAAAGAACAAAAACCTATTTAAAAGACTTTTTTCAGGGTATTGTTTTTCAATGAATGAGGAATTTTAAAACAAGCTTCAATGGAGTAAGGCCTACGATAGGCATTTCAGTCATTTTCTAAAATACTCAGTAAGATCAGAAATTCCAGGAAATTTTCAATAATAATGTTAATTTGATGTAAAAATTTAAATGATGGTGATGTTGCTTTTGATATTTTATCATTATCGAAGAGTTCTTGGTTGTTGAAATCTTTTTATTTTTCTGCATCTGCTAAATTTTAAATGTATATAAAACTTTTCCCTAGTTGTGATTTTGACTGGAAAACTCATTCTTGTCATAGAATTAGTCTGACGTAGATTGACTTTTTATAGCACATAGCTAGGTGAATTGAAAACATTTAAACTTTTTACTTTTAGGACTAATAAAATTTAGTAGCTTTAGGTTTTGTTTTTAATAATATACTAACCTGAGCTAGTGTTTTCTGTTGTTTAAACAAAGAAATATTCCTCAAGTTCATTTTGGCTTATAATATGATTGATAAAACGTGAGTCTTAATTTTCTGCAGATGCATTGCTCTGGCTTGGCATGGCATCCTGATATTGCTACGCAGATGGTCCTTGCCTCTGAGGATGATAGGTCACCAGTGGTCCAGATGTGGGATCTTCGCTTTGCTTCCTCTCCTCTTCGTGTCCTTGAAAACCATGCCAGGTATCATTCTGCTCTTTCAACAAACTTGATTTGTTAATTTTTAAAAACATTCCAGGTATCATTCTGAAAACCATGCCAGGTATCATTCTGCTCTTTCAACAAACTTGATTTGTTAATTTTTAAAAACACATCTACTTACCAGAGACACTTTTTTGGGGGTGGGGGGCGGGAGGGGAGGGATTGCGGTCAGAATGGGGGGGTTGCAATTGTATGGGGAATATAAAAATAAAATTTATTATTTAAAAATAAAATAAAATAAAATTACAACTTAAAAAAAAAAACACATCTACTTAGTACTTTGAATTGTTAGATTTTTATTAACTTCAGAATCTACTTTATCTTGACAAGTTACTAGAAGGTCACATAATCAAGTGATGACTTCTAACCCAAAAATCCTGTTCCCAGAGTACACACTCTTAACACAACATTCTACTTCCAATTTTAGGACTGATCATAATTTAGCAAGACAGATCATAGTGGGTGTAGGAGCAATCAACCTCTCTAATTTTCCATTTTACTCCTCTTTAATAAATGCAACTATTGGCTTATATGACCTTGAGGTCCCTTCCAGCTCTACAATTTGTGACTTTTTTGTTTTAAAGATTTATTTATGCATACAAGAAATGGAATACAGGCCAGAGGTGTGGGGGGTGGGGTGTGTGTGTAAGAGGATTCACCAGAGACAGAGTGGGGAACAGAACAGTCAGATTGACTGAAATACACTGTTGAGGTGAGCAGTGGGTGAGTCAGGAGAGGTCTGCTGCGCCATGTGTCTTAGTTCCTGGCCGGAGATCAGACTCATGCAGCAGTGGTTATGGATAGCTTCATAGTGCTGCATTTTAACCTCTTGTGCCACCCAGTTGTGTGACTTTTTAAAATACTTAATAAGAACATCTAAATGTTCTAGATTTCTTTAAAAGAAGTTTTGACATGCCTTAACATGCATGATTGGAGTCTAACAGGGAAAGGCAATTATAAATTTTTTTTTCTGCGTACAAGTACTGGATTGTAGGCCAGAGGTGCAGGGGGTGAGAAGATTCACCATAGACAGAATGGGAAGCAGAATGGCTGGATTCATTAAAATACACTACAAAGAGGGCACAGTGGGCGAGATAGGAGCGATCTGCTGTAACCATATGTGGGTTAGCTCCCTGGCCCAGGGAAGGCAATTGTAAAGAACATTATTGATGCAGTTGGGAAAATTTTAATATAGACTATATATTAAAAATTATTATATGTTATTTATTGCATGTGAATAAATATTTTCAGTATGTAATTGAAATATTGTATAGATGAATTTTCTTATCCACAGAGATGAATCTTAAGGATGACCTGTATGATAACTACAATTAACCCTGAAATGGTCAAATATATATATATGTGCATATATGTCTATGTATGTATGAAAAAGGGAGGGACATAGTTCAGTGTGGCCAAATTGGTAAATCTAAGTGAATAGTGAGGAATATGAGGGTGGACATAATACTGTCCTCTAAAAAATACTTTTTTAAAAAAGATTTGAACTTTTTTTTTTTTTTTTTTAAAGATTTATTTATTTATTTATTTGTTTATACAAGCACTGGGTACAGTCAGAAGTGCAGGAGGGTGAGAGAATTCACCAGAGCCAGAGCGGGGAGCAGAGCAGGCAGAAGGACCGAAGTACATTGCTGAGGGGAGCAGCGGGCGGCAGGAGAGGCCTGTGCCCCATGTGGGACCCTCCTCCGGTGGCCGGAGGGCAGCCGGGGATCGAACCTGTGCTGCAGAGGCTGCGGGCAGCTTCGCAACCCAGCGCTCAACCGCTGCGCCACCGGGGAGGCCCAAAGATTTGAACTTTTTAAGAAAAAGAATATTTGGACAAACCAGATACTCTTAAACAATGTGGATCCTTCTCTTATACTATCTTTCCTTGAATTCTGAGCGGAACTTAGTTGAAGAAACATTATCAAATTAAAAACAACTTTTAGAGAAGAAAACACCATTAACTCAAACAAATTAAAAATGAGATTTAACTATATTTGGGAAATTTTAAAAGTTAAGAAACCATGCATCTTAGAAATGTTTCCAGCAGAGTTAAGGGATCTGAATTTGTATGCTTTTATTTTAAGAAATATGCAAACATAGTTTCTAGTAGCTAGACTTTTATTCTGGTTTCTAGTTTTTTTTTTTTTTCATTGCATGGTAGTATTACTAACTTCTTCCATCTCTAAACAACAAAGGAATGAATATAGAAAAGACAAAATATTAATAGTGTTTTTCCCTCGCGTGGAACTTTTCTTTATGGTAACCTGAATTTTCAAAATAGCTACAATAATTACTTTTGTTATAGTTAGGATTAAAGTACTTAATCCTAACTTATAGTTAGGATTAAAGTACTATAACACCAAAAGAACTATAAAATCAGATCTTTGTTATTTAGATTTGTAGTACTTTGTGAGACAAATTTTAAATTTTTTCTTTAAATTAAAAAAACTGGGGCCTCCCTGGTGGCATAAGGGATTAAGCACCGCACTATGAGGCAATCTGCAGCCTCTGCAGCATGAGTTCGATCCCTGGCTGGCCAGGGGGCAACCCACATGGCGAAGTAGACTGCTCCCACCTCGCCCACTGCTTCCCTCAGCAGTGTATTTGGTTGGTCTGCCTGTTCTGTTCCCCATTCTGTCTCTGGTGAATCCTCTCATCCCCCTACATCTCTGGCCCATGCCTCCGCTCTTGTATGCATAAATAAATGGCCCGTGCCTCCTCTCTTGTATGCATAAATAAATGAATCTTTGAAAAAAAAAAGAACGGGGAGAAAAAATTTAAAAAGCTGCATTTGGTAGAAGAATTCTGCAAATTATAAAAACTAGAAAATGTAAACATAACATAGAAAATGTAAAATAGTTGCATTTCCTACCCATGCAAAGGCAGAACATTTATTGTGCATTTATTAATTTGTAGTTACATAATTCCAATTAAATATTTAATGTAATTATGTATTTTTATACAAATTTACATACACGGTTATCTTTTTTCATTAATTGTAAGAAATAATTTTCTATAATGTAATTTTTCAACTACTTATTTTTTTCATCACAAGATGATCTGTAATTTATTATTATATAGTTCATGTCATTGGACATTTGTTTTCATTTTTGCTATCATATACTTTGCACTATTTTGAATGCAATGTAATAATCAAATGAGTATACATATTACCAAATCACTTTTGAAATGGTTTATGAAATGAAACTTCTATTAGTGTATATTCTCAAGAAACATATTTAGAAATAATTTGGGTATTTGATTTTTCTGACGATTAAAAATTGTTTCATTTCTTTTTTTTTTAATAGGGGGATTTTGGCAATTGCTTGGAGCATGGCTGATCCTGAACTGTTGCTAAGCTGTGGAAAAGATGCTAAGATTCTTTGCTCTAACCCAAATACAGGAGAGGTATGGGGAGGAAATGTTTCTCAAGCTTATAGCTATTATAATATTTTATTTCTAGCTGAAAAAAGTATTTTCCATATGGATTTTTTAGTGCATTATTACAGCTTAGTAGATGGGAAAATAGATGGAGTTATGTGAAGCGGTCATTGAGCAGAGATTTTGTCAGCAACGTTATCTAAGCTCAGTTGTTTCAAACATGAAAAATCTGTCATTGAAATAGTATATTTGAAAGTAAAAATTATCTCCTAGCCCCCATATCCAATATAAGATGTTTATTTAGACACGAAATACTTGATTTATTTTACATGTGGTGTCTGTACAAACCCATGTCTTCAAAGTAGGAGTACTCCAATGTTGATGTCTTTTTCCTGCTTTACCGTTCCTCATAATTCCCTTTTACTTGAAAAATCAGTACATGTAGGTTTTTAATCTCTCTTCTGGACAATATAACAAGAATCTAATACTTTTTATAATTAATATTTGTCATATGCTCTTCCCATGGTAATAATTTAAATGTAGGAAATTTTACCCTATTGAATGTAATTGCTATATAACTATAATTTTATTTGCTTTGGGTTAAAAATTGGATTAAAATAATTTAAAATTATTTTATTCTAGTAGTTGGATGGTTTCCCTTTCTTACAGTGTTGGACAAGAGTTCATACATTTTAACTACGGCTTTACACGTTCATCTTTTTTTAAATTTAGATTACTGTAAGTGTTTTCCTAGTTACTTTTATGGGATGCTAGTAAAAATAAGAGTATCTTCGATAGGTTTTAATCTATAATATTAAATTTGTTTTGCATTAAATCTATAATATATTAAATCTATAATAAGCACTTTTGTTATCTGATTTGTAGCTTAAAGTTGCCACATTTATTGATATCTGTAAAATATAGAAATGTTAAAGTTAGGGGGTGATAGAGACAAAATTAAAATAATAATTTTTACGCCATATGATTTGTACACCAAGGAATAAAAATCTGGGATTTTACACTGTGCCTTCAAAAATGGGTTCAGAATTTATGGAAATTGTTCTTATTTTCTCAGCTATGCAGTTTGGTTAAATGAATTTTTTTCTAAAGATATATTTTTATTTATGCATACAAGAACTGGGTTGTAGGCCAGAGCTGCGGGGTGAGAGTTTCACTACAGACAGAGTGGGAAACAACACAGGCAGATCTACTGAAGAACACTGCTGAGGGGAGCAGCAGGCGAGACAGGAGAGGCCTGCTACACCATGTAGGTTAGCTCCCTGGCTGGGTATTGAACTCATGTTGCAGTGGGATAGCTTGATAGCGTGAGACCTTAACCCCTGCGCCTCCAGGAGGACCCTGATTAAATGAATTTTTACTTAAGATTACTTGTGTGTGCTTAAACTTGGAAGGAATAAACCTGTAGAACAGGCTGCAACTTTTAAAATTTAGTAGATGTTAATGCAGATTGGAACAGAGAAGTGATTCAGCTGCGTGTCTCATCAACCAATTTAAGCATCAAGAATGAGCAGATTATCTTTTCACTTAATTCTGTTTTTGCATAAAAATTATTTTAAATATCACCAGATGCCAAAGTTAAGCTAATTTAACTTAATTCATAAAACCATGAAAGCTGTGCTCATATTAGCATTAGTTACCATCACACTAACTTTGAATTAGCAAGAGTTATTACAATGTAAAGGTTTTGTGTCATTTTTATAGTTTTTCTGTATTTTTCCCACCTAAAGGAAACTGTCTATGCCAAAACTGTAATAAGGGTGATATAAACATGTTTTTTTCAATTGACTAAAAGAGAAATTTCTGCTTGAATTCTTTCTTTTTAAGATTAAAGTTGGTCTTTAAATTGAAATTGGTTGTTTGGCCTTTACACAGGCAGAGACAAACAGGATACCAGTGATCTTTTATTTTAACAAGTTGAGTCTAGTAGAATATTCTTGTTTTTCAATAAAAATGGAAAAAAACCCTCCATTTTTAAAATGAACTTGTGCCAAATCTGATTGAAATTTTGAATGGCATTTCTTTTTATCATAATAAACCAGCATAATATACTTTTGTTGTATGTTAAGGAACTTTTTATAATTACTTTTCCTGGCTAAAAAAAACTTTCTAAAAAGAAAATGCTTCATCAAGCGGCACTTGTTGATCATATTAATTCAGGTGTTTGGCTATAAAGTGACTGTACCACTTTCTGACTGTCTTTTGTTTGTTTGACCTAGGTATTATATGAACTTCCCACCAACACACAGTGGTGCTTTGATATTCAGTGGTGTCCAAGAAATCCTGCTGTCTTATCAGCTGCTTCCTTTGATGGGCGTATCAGTGTTTATTCTATCATGGGTGGAAGTGCAGATGGTTTAAGGCAGAAACAAGTTGACAAGGTAAACTTGTTAAAGTTAAGGTTTTGGGTTATAACACCTGAAAAAAAGCATAAATCAAAATCATATAATGATTTTGAAAATGACTTCACTGATCAACAATTCTGATTAATTTGACTAATTATGTTTTAAAAATGTTCTTAGCTATGACTTGAAAACATATAATCTTTTTAAGTTACAAATTCTCCCATCTTTATTTTTTTCAGCTTTCATCATCTTTTGGGAATTTGGATCCCTTTGGCACAGGACAGCCCCTTCCTCCGTTACAAATTCCACAGCCAACTACTCAACATAGCGTAGTGTTGCCTCTAAAGAAGCCACCCAAGTGGATCCGAAGGCCTGTTGGTGCTTCCTTTTCAGTAGGTGGATTTGTTTTTATGGTCCATAAGCAAGAAGGATCTTTAGTAAAGGGTTATTATAGGATTGATCACATGGGATGGGTTTCTGGTTTGTTTTTGATTTTTAAGATTTATTTTTTTTTATACAAGGACTGGGGTACAGGCCAGAGGCAGGGGAGGGTGAGAGGATTCACCAGAGACAGAGTGGGGAGCAGAACAGGCAGACGGACCAAAGACACTGCTGAGGGGAACACAGGGCGAGGCAGGAGAGGTCTGCTGCACCATGTGGGTACCTTCCTGACCAGCGGGGAATTGAACCCTGCACAGCAGAGGCTGCGGACAGCCTCATAGCACTGCGCTCAACCCACTGCACCACTGGGGAGGTCTGGTTTCTGGTTTTTAGTCAATCAGAAGGATTTCTCAGAAGAGGTGGGAACTACTCCCTTTTTAAAAAATTGTGGTAAAGTATACACAACATAAAATTTTACTCCTTTTAAAATACAAAGTTTGGTGGCATTAAGTATGTTTACATTGTTGTGCAAACTTCCCACCATCCTGTGCCCCTCATTCTCTTATTAAATGTGATGTCCTTGTTTCTGCTTTGTCTGTTTTTGGGGTAGGGAGGTGGAGGAGGTATCCTCCTTTTTGAACAACCTTTCCACTAGATTTTTTAAAATCTTATCCATTGTTAAATGTACTGTAAAGCATATAACTATATGCAACAGATCTTTAGATCTGTTACATCTTGCAGAACCCAAACTCTATACCTATTGAACAAAAACTGCCCATTGCACAGCTTCTTAACCCTTGATAATCATGTTCTATTTTTTTTTTTTTTTAATTTTAGATTTTTTTTTTTTAAAGAGGCACGTATTTTATTCATTTATTTATTTGTTTGTTTGTTTTTGGTTTATACATGCACTGGGTACAGTCAGAAGCGCGGGAGGGTGAGAGAATTCACCAGAGCCAGAGCGGGGAGCAGAGCAGGCAGAAGGACCGAAGTACACTGCTGAGGGGAGCAGCGGGCGGCAGGAGAGGTCTGCGCGCCATGTGGGACCCTCCTCCGGTGGCCGGGGAGCAGCCGGGGATCGAACTGGCACTGCAGAGGCTGCGGGCAGCTTCACAACCCAGCGCTCAGCCGCTGCGCCACCGGGGAGGCCCAATCATGTTCTATTTTATGCTTCTCTGAGGTTGACTTTAGATCTCTCATATAATGAAATCATGCAGTATTTGTCTTTTTGTGATTAACTTATTTCACTTAGCATATTGTTCTCAAGGTTCTTTTAAAAGGCCGAGTAGTATTCCGTTTGTGAGTATGTGTGTGTATGTGTGTGTGTGTACACCACATTTTCTTTGCCCATTAACCTATTAATGGATAATTATGTTGCTGCTACCTCATGTCTATTGTAAATAATGTTGCAATGAACATTTTTTCCAAATATTACTTTGAGATCCTATTTTTCAGTTCTTTTGGATATATATCAAAAGTGGCATTATGGGATCTTAAGGTAATTTTATTTTTAATTTTCTGAAAAACCTCCATCTTGGTTCCCATACCACCTTTACTATTTTTATTTCTATCAGCAAATGCACAAGGATTCCATTTTTTTTTCACATTTTCACTAACAAGTAATTACTTTCTAATTTTTAGATAGCAGGCATCCTAATGGACTTGAGATGATGGTTTTTATTGGCATTTCCCTAATGATTAGTTAGGTGAAGCATTTTGTCATGCATCTGTAAGCTATTTGTGTGTCATCTTTGAAGAAATGTCTATTCAACTCCTATACCCTTTTTTAAAAATATTTATTTTATTTATTTATGAATGCAAGAACTGGGGTCTATGCTAGAGGTACCGGGAGGTGAGAGGATTTACCAGAGGCAGAGTGGGGAACAGAACAGGCGGATCTACTGAAATACATTGCAGCAGGCGAGACAGGAGAGGTCTGCTGTGCCATGTGAGTTAGTTCCCTGGCCAGGGATTGATCTTTTGCCATTATGGGTGGCTAGCTGGCGAGGGCTTGATAGCGCTGAAACTTTAACCCCTGCACTACCAGGGACAAACCTCCTGTGTCCATTTTTTAATGGAGTTGTTTGGGGTTTTTTGTTGTTGAATTTTAAGAATTCTTTTTTTTTTAATATTTATTTATACAAGAGTTGGGGTACAGGCCAGAGTTGCGGGAGGGGGAGAGGATTCACCAGAGACAGAGCGGGGAGCAGAACAGGCAGACGGACAGAAGGCATTGCTGGGGGAGCAGGGGCGAGACAGGAGAAGTCTGCCTCGTCATGTGGGATTCTCCCTGGCTGACCGGGAATCAAACCGGTGCTGCGGAGGCTGAGGACAGATTCACAGTGCAGCACTCAACCTGCTTCCCCACAGGGGAGGCCCCTAAGAATTCTTTATATGCTCTGGATATTAACTCCTTATCAGATAAAGCATTTGTAAATATATTCTCACATTCTTCAGTTTTCCTTTAAACTCCACTCTTTCCTTTGCTGCTTAGAAGCCTCCTTTGTCTATTACTGCTTTTTGTTATCTCTTCTTTTTGGTTATTGTATCTAAGAAATTGTTTCCAAATTAATGTCCTCAAACTGAAACTTATAAAACTTTCACCATTTCTGTAGACCAGAAAAAAGAAATACTATAGGCTTATCCTTAATATTCTCAGTTTACATCTGTTTTTAAAAATCTAGCATAGAATAGTCCATTTGTCCATTGTTGGGTTACTGTCTCCCTACAACCTACAGGTATGATACTATCTTTTTAATAGTAATATTAGAAGTTAAAAAATATTTCTTATATACTTTGTGCCAGGTAATATTTTAGCATTTTCAATAACATTTTATATTAAGTTATATAGTTTTTATAACCACTTTTAAAATAACCACAATTACCTCCATTTTGCAAATAAAGAGAAGTACAAAGAAATAAATTGTCTGATCTTGCATATATAAATCTAGCTATTATGTCAGTTTAATCAAATGCCTACTGTACATAATGTTAAAAATTGGTCTTTTGGTAATAATGTCTAAAATTAAGACTTTAAACTTAAACCATTTTGTTCAGCATCCCCACAACTTTTTATATTATCAGAACAGAATTGTACACGTCATAGAATTCTGTATATACATCGTCCCTAAAACTGAATGAATCCTTCCTCTGTAAGTGACTGTTGAGTTCTTGGTGTCATTCCTCTATTGACACAGCTCATAACTTTTCCTTTGGCCTCTCCTATTCATCCTTCAGTTCTTTATAAATAACATGGATTTATTTCACCTTTTATAGTGTTAATTCTCTTCATTTTTCCACTTAAACATGATTACATGTTACATAATTGCATATCTATTGCTTGTCTTTACCCCTTTCAGTCTATACTACATATACAGGAGTAATCTTTCTGAAATAGACTTTTAATTATGTCACTCATAAATTCATTCTATAGATTTAATTAACCTTCACCATCCCTCTTACCTGGTCTTCTTCATTATCTGCACTCTGCCTTTGAATCTTTGCTTGTTTAAGGAATTTTCACTTTTTTTTTTTTCCACTTTTTATTTATTTATTTATTTACACAAGCACTGGGTACAGTTAGGCTGTCTACTTCATAGGTATGTTTCCAGTACCTAAAATGGGGCCCAATTAATATATTATTTATTTATTTGGGGACTGAAAAGTGAGCATCTTTATAAGATAAGTAACACTCCTTTCTTTCACATATGAGTTTGGAACCAAATTAGAGAGATGGAAAATCAAAATGTCAGTTTTAGTAGGTAGATTTATTTAGTAGGTAGATTTATAAGGTAGATTGGAGATTGTAATTTAGATGTGCAACCATTAGTGGACCTTGTAACAAATTAGAATATAGGCTCTAACAGCTAGATTTTCATCTGTTTTGTTTGCCTATACTATATTCCCAATGTCTGATTCAGTAAATATTTTGTTTGCTTTGTCCCTGTTAAACAGCCTTAGCAACCTTATCACAGGTAGACCTAGGTAGGCTCTGTAGGGCTTTCCTTGAAGGTACAGACAACTTACCTGTGTGGACTAGAGCTCTGTGTAGGATGATAGACACAAAAAGAATTGATGCAAATATTCTTTATTTCTTCACTGAAAATAATGTCAGTGTAGTCAGCCCTTTCCCAGGAGAGTATGAGGGACAGAGCGGCTAGAAGTGTTCTTCTGTTTTTCCCTTATAGATTACCATGAAAATTCCTTCTCTCTGTGGATAGGAGGTGTGGGATGTTAAGTGTCCCCCTCAAATATCTTTTGGTTACCATTATTGAAGTTTTAGAATTTTTAGTTATTTTTGTGATTATCTTGTAAATAATTTACCTAAGTATCTATGTCTTGATATATTAACTCTACGTAATATTAATTGAAACTTTTTGTTTTTAATGAACTGGGGTGAAGGCCAGAGGTGCAAGGAGATGAGAGGATTGACTAGAGACAGAGTGGGAGCAGAACAGGCAGGTTTACACTGCTAAGGGGACCAGAGGTTGAAACAGGAGAGGCCTGTTGTGCCATATGTGGGTTAGCAACCTGGCTGGGAATTGAACTCAGGCTATAGAAGTGATAGCTCTGAGACTTAACCCCTAGGCCACCTAATCTAAACTTTTCTAAGCAACATTAAATTGCTGCATTTGTAATTCCTTCCAAGTTTTTCAATTATTTTCTTGCTAAATTTTTAGAAATTTTTGTAAGTTGCATTATTTTTACTTTACTAAGATTTCAGATATATATTTATTGTCTTAAGTTGCAATATTTAAGTTTTCTATTTTTGCTTAGGTCAGTTTTAAAACTGATAACTAATACATCATTCATATTATTGTAATTGTGTAATGTAATATTAATATTACATAGCACCCAGTATTGAATAAATTTAATCATCTTGTAAAACTGGTTAAAAACTGGTTTCACTTGTACACTTTTCTCCAACTTTCCTAGAACCCAGAAAACTCAGCAGTTTTGTCATTTTGTGAACTTACATGAGTGGTGTCATCTGTATCTCCGTTAATATTTTATGTGTCTGTTGTATTCAGTTTTATTTTCATGTTCAAGTTTCTTAAGGATAGTTGTATTTACTTTTATATCTTGGTATTTTCTACAATGCCTGACATAACAAACACTGAACATATTATACATTTAATAAGTTCGTGGGAAGACCATAGTTGTATACAGATCCAAATTTGGTCCTGTTTCCTTCTTTCCCTGTGTTCATTTTTTTATAAATATATTAGATATCTGCCTGTTATGTTTAAGATAGATATTATATACTGTGAAAAATACAAGAATAAAGGAGACAAAGAATAAAGTCAGGGAGGAAAAACTTTACCCTCTTAGGATTTTTGGCTGAGTGGGAGAATTAAATTGACATAAGAAGATTAAAAACATACAGGAAAAAAACGTACAGGTTGGTTTTTTTGTTTTGTTTTTAAATATCAGTCTTTGAGTTATTTAGGAAGCTAGTTCAGCTAAGTGTTTAGAAATCTAGGAGAAAAAAGATTCTGTGATTAACGAAGTTTGAGGAATCCTAAGCTAAAACCATCTGGGCACATTTCTTGATTGCAGTGATTTTTGGAGCTTTTACTAGAGCATACAGGCTTTTACATGTATGTATGAACCTCCAAAGGAAAATGAACAACCAAACAAGTGGCAAAACCTGAGTTGTTTATATAAGAGATTGGACAAAGAATGCCAGTTGTACAAAGTAACTAAAATATATAGACTAAAGGGAGATAATTATTTTAACAAGTTTATTTGTACAGAATTCTCTTGGCCTTGACGCCCATCTGTGATAATGAAGATGTTTGTTTCCACCAAGAGTAGAGAGAACAGATAGAAATGGGGGATTTCATCTCCTGTTTTCAGGAAGAAAAGAGATCAGAGGGCCTTCCCTGGTGGCGCAGGCTGTTGAGCTTAGCGCTGTGAAGCTCTCAGCGGCCTCTGCAGCACAGGTTCGATCCCGATAGGCTGGCGAGGGTCCCACATGGTGCGCAGACCTCTCCTGCCACCCGCTGCTCCCCTCAGCAGTGTACTTTGTCAGTCTGCCTGTTCTGCTCCCTGCTGTGGTTCTGGGGAATTCTCTCACCCTCCCACGCTTCTGACTGTACCCAGTGCTTATATAAATAAGTAAATCTTAAAAAAATAAAATAAAATAAAATTTAGAGCCTAGTACAGAAATATGTGCAGTTAAAAGTTGAAACAAGGGCCTCCCCTGTGGCGCAGCGGTTGAGCATTGGGTTGCGAAGCTGCCTGCGGCCTCTGAGGCGCCAGTTCTATCCCCGGCTGCTCCCCGGCCACCGGAGGAGGGTCCCACATGGTGTGCAGACCTCTCCTGCCACCCGCTGATCCCCTCAGCAGTGTACTTCGGTCTTTCTGCCTGCTCTGCTCCCTGCTCTGGCTCTGGTGAATTCTCTCACCCTCCCACGCTTCTGACTGTACCCAGTGCTTGCATAAATAAATAAATAAATAAATCTTAAAAAAAAAAAAAAGTTGAAACAAAAAATAGGTGATAAACTGAGGCTATCAAGATGGAAGAGATGACATTTGCTTGGGACCTTAAAGGGAAGTAGCATTGCATATGTGGAAGGCAGTGAAAACAAATAGGTGAGAAATTGTGGAGTACAATAAATAGTACATTTTATCTGGAAGGTGGCTATTATGTAGCAGTATAATTGAAGTCCAGAGTCAGATTGTGGAGCATGGGCAAGGATATCAGCTAATTTTATTTAAATTGGTGTCTATTTAGGCCACAGTTTTTTCCATAAGCAGGTTTAAAATTAGCACATTTTTTGGCTACATCCTTGTTGTTCAGACTGATTTTGTTCATTTCTTCTTTTATAGTTTGGAGGCAAACTAGTTACCTTTGAGAATGTCAAAATGCCCTCCCAGCAAGGAGCTGAGCAGCAGCAGCAGCAGCAACGCCACGTGTTCATCAGTCAGGTTGTGACAGAAAAGGAATTCCTCAGCCGATCCGACCAACTTCAGCAGGTCGTGCAGTCACAAGGATTTGTCAACTACTGTCAGAAAAAAATTGATGCTTCCCAGACTGAGTTTGAAAAAAATGTGTGGTCCTTTTTGAAGGTAAAGTTGATATTAAGACAATTTTATTATCATTATCTGCATAGTTCATCTATTCCCATTATATGCTAAGTGTGTTTATTAAAAAACAGCATATTAAAAAAACAATTGGAAGACTGTGATGTTGGGAACCTCATGATGAAATTAAAGAAAACTTAAAAAGAACACACTACTAACTTCATATCAAGAATTTTTCTTTCTGGACAATGAAAAGCCTAATGTGAAGCACTTTTTTTTTTTTTATATATTTTTTTTATAGAGGCATGTTTTATTTATTTATTTGTTTGTTTGTTTTGTTTATACATGCACTGGGTACAGTCAGAAGCGCGGGAGGGTGAGAGAATTCACCAGAGCCAGAGCAGGGAGCAGAGCAGGCAGAAGGACCAAAGTACACTGCTGAGGGGAGCAGCGGGCGGCAGGAGAGGTCTGCGCGCCATGTGGGACCCTCCTCTGGTGGCCGGGGAGCAGCAGGGGATCGAACCGGCGCCGCAGAGGCCGTGGGCAGCTTCGCAACCCAGCGCTCAACCGCTGCGCCACCGGGGAGGCCCTGAAGCACTTTTTTAATAAGTATATAAGACAATATCATAAATGTATTTGACAGAGACAACATTCAACAAGTCTATTTTAAAACTAGAATTTAGAGTGTCTTACAATGAAATGATAGGGAAATGAAATTATAATTTCATTTGTATAGAAGCTCTAGTTAAGGAGAATGGGAAAAGAAGGATGAGCTATAGGGGAAAGAGGATGTAAACATTTCTCCTCTCTTACTGAGTTGCACTTAAAGTCAGTATATATACTGAATTGACCAGCAAATAGAATTTTCTGGTTGGTCATTGTGCCTCCACTGGAATGTCTGTTTCTTGATACTGAATTTTCCAAAGAAAACTGATCTTGAATACAAATGATACCAAGTTCTAAAATGAGAGAATTTCTTTTTATATAGTGTAATTAAGTATAAATTTTGCAAAAGAGCTTCAAGGAGTTGAATGTTCAACTTAGTGTGCATTTTGTATTCATATGACTTTTGGACATGAATTAGTATGTATTTACCAAAATTATAGTTTGAAAGTAAACTTTAGTCAACCAGGATGATCAATTACCAGCATAATTATTATTAAAAATAATTTATTTTAAAAAAACTATTTGGAATCTTTCTCATCGTGAACCTTCTGGTTAATACTTTAGACTTCAGATACCTTTAATAATTCTATTTGGAATTTGATCAATTAATTAAAATGTGGGCTTTTAATACAGGTCATTGTTTTAACATGTATCTTTTTTTAAAGGTAAACTTTGAGGATGATTCTCGTGGCAAATACCTTGAACTTCTAGGGTACAGAAAAGAAGACCTAGGAAAGAAGGTAAACTTTTGGGAAAGTTAAGAGAAAAGTTAATAACTTGTATAACATGTAGCTCTTTAAAATAAAGTTCTAAATAAATTATCTCAAATAATTTTCAATAAACATGTAACAGGAATCTGTATTTACCAAGGTTCCCCCACCCCAGTTTCATAAGTGCCTTTATTTATTTTTTTAAAAGATTTATTTATTTATTTATGCATACAAGCACTGGGGTACAGGCCAAAAGTGCAGGGGGTGAGCAGATTCACCAGAGACAGAGTGGGGAGCAGAACAGGCAGACTGACTGAAATACATTGCTAAGGGGAGCAACAGGACAGGCAAGAGAGGTCTGCTACACCATACACCATGATGGTGGCTGGTGATAGCTTGATAGCTCTGAGACTTTAACCCCTGGGCCACCAGGGAGGCCCGTGAATACATATTTTTATTTTTTTATTTTTTTTTTTTTTTATACTTATTTTTTTTTTTTTTTAATAGAGGCATGTTTTATTTATTTATTTATTTGTTTGTTTGTTTTGTTTATACATGCACTGGGTACAGTCAGAAGCGTGGGAGGGTGAGAGAATTCACCAGAGCCAGAGCAGGGAGCAGAGCAGGCAGAAGGACCGAAGTACACTGCTGAGGGGAGCAGCGGGCGGCAGGAGAGGTCTGCGCGCCATGTGGGACCCTCCTCCGGTGGCCGGGGAGCAGCAGGGGATCGAACCGGCGCCCCAGAGGCCGCGGGCAGCTTCGCAACCCAGCGCTCAACCGCTGCGCCACCGGGGAGGCCTCTGAATACATATTTTTAAATGTGAAGCTTTACCTTGTACCTAGATTTGTAAGCTGCCAGAATCCCCTTTATTTCAAACTTGATTTGAAGAGCTGGGTCAGGGACAGTTGAGCCTTAAAAGATATTGTAAGCCTCAAATACTGGAAGTAACAGTTAAATTTTAAGAGTGTATATAACCAAGGGCTCTGTGGGGGGAAAAAAAGAGAGAAACTGTTGGAGATTACTGAGTTCACTGCAACTTAAGTGATGAAAACTAGGGTTCTAGTTCAATTTTTCATGCCAACTGTTGATGCCATTAACTCACAATTCCTAATTGAGTTGTTCTACCTGCCAAGTAACTTGTAAATAATTTGAAACAAGGGTAATTTAATTGAACCTGAATAAACAAGTCCAGGTGATTTGTTTAATATTTTAACTTAGATTCCCTTTTTTTTTTTTTTAAAGATTTGTTTATTTATACATACATACATACATACATACATACATACATACAAGCACTGGGTAGAGTCAGAAGCTCAGGAGGGTGAAAGAATTCACCAGAGCCAGAGGGGGCAGCAGAGCAGGCAGAAAGACTGAAGTATACTGCTAAGGGAAGCAGCGGGCAGCAGGAGAGGTCTCCACGCCATGAGGGACCTTCCTCCGGTGGCCGGGGAGCAGCCGGGGAACAAACCAGCGCTGCAGAGGCTCCGGGCAGCTTCGCAACCCAGCGCTCAACCGCTGCGCCACCGGGGAGACCCTTAGAATCCCTTTTAAAAGGAGGCAATCAGGGCCTCCCTGGTGGCGCAGCGGTTGAGCGCTGGGTTGCGAAGCTGCCCGAAGCCTCCGCAGCACCAGTTCGATCTCCAGCTGCTTCACAGCCACCGGAGGAGGGTCCCGGTTCCCGCATGGCGCACAGACCTCTCCACGCCATGAGGGACCTTCCTCCGGTGGCTGGGGAGCAGCTAGGGAACGGCACCCGCTGCTCCCCCCAGCAGTGTACCTCTGTCCCTCTGCCTGCTCTGCTCCTGCTCCCACTCTGGCTCTGGTGAATTCTCTCACCCTCCTGCACTTCTGACTGTCCCCAGTGCTTGTATAAATAAATAAATAAATCTTTAAAAAAAATAAAAGGAGGAAATCATAAATGTAAATCTAGTTTTATAGTTTTCTCCTTAAAGAAAACGTTGATGTGAACAGCATTAAAAAGACTTCTTGACTTTGGAAATCTTGAAAGAAATGTTAGATTCTTTGACATTGTAATTAACCCCTTGTAGTTCTCTAAAAGGAACTAAACTTTACTATAGCACTACAAGGTTCTTGCATACATGGTGCCTTTTAGAAACAGAATTAGTGCTCTTTGATGTCAGATGGACCTAGGATCCTATCGCAGCCCCATTGCTTCCTGTTTATATGTCTTTTCTCACTCCTTTATATTTTTATTTTATATTTAACTTTCATTATTACTGTAAACTTATCAGTGCTTTAACTTTTTAGGTTTGTAAAGAATTAATTATGAAAATTTTACTGCATATCTTACAGCAAAAATGAGGAAATTTAATTGTCAAAATACTTGAAATAGCAGTTATTCCCATAGTGAGTAACTGAAGAAATATTTTTAAAATCTATTACAGTATTTTCCTGAAATCACGGTAGGTTAGTTTTGTGATTGAACAGCAAGTGAAATGATGTGATCAATAGAACTCCATGTAGTGGAAATGAGAAGTATTGAGAAACCAGTTCTGTCCAGGTCTCATTCTTTTCTTAAATGTACTACTCTTAAATTTATTTTCTTAAATATACTATCCCTATTCTGAATTTTTGTGGATTTTTACCAAGGAAAATGGAATGAGCAGTGAACATTTAATGTATGTCTTCAAATAGAATTTTGAAGCTCAGCAGGTGGGTTATTCTTTTTATTTCAGATTGCTTTGACTTTGAACAAAGTGGATGGACCTGATGTGGTAAGAAGACCTTAAAAACAGCTGCTTTTTAAAATTTAGGTCATAACAAAGGAAATGTAATTCAGAAGTCTGTTTTATTACTTCTCAGTATTTAAAAAAAAGTGAATATCCTAAATACTGTAAATGGATAAATCTCTTTTTAAAATAGCCTAAGTTTTGTTAGAGCATTTATTTGTCTTACAGTATTTGAATTTTGCTAAAGGAAAAAAAAAAATTAAATCAGTGACTGCTCAGATACCTTAAGGTAAAGATCTGTGTTGCCTAGGGACATTTGGTAGGAAAGAAAGGGAAGGTCTTAGCAGCAATGCCTCTGTTTTTCTTCCAATGGTGTTTCTAAATTTACTTAATGTTGCTTCTTATGATAAAACTAGTTCTAAATGTTGTTGGTTGGGTCTTTTGTCTTCTTTGTTCACTAATAACTTTTAAACACTACATCATATTCTTCAACTTCTGTGATTGTTTTGTGTACCAAAGGCTCTTAAAGACTCTGACCAAGTAGCACAGAGTGATGGGGAAGAGAGCCCTGCTGCTGAAGAGCAGCTCTTGGGAGAGGTACTTATTTTTTTCATTTTTAATTATATTAGAAAAAAATAATTTGTTTAACTCACCTTGAAATATGGAAAATTCTCTTGATTTCTTGTGAAAAATAAAGTTGGAACATACTGTTTTCTTAGAGATGTTTAGGATAGTAATTGATTTACCTAAATGACAGAATATCATCTCAGAAATCTTTAGTTCTTTGACCTAGCTTCTGGACTGTATGGTTTAAAATTAACAGTTGATGTTTGATTGATTTAATCTGGTAAGATGGATATCAGAATGACAAACAGAATAGATTTACTCAGAAATCCACATTTCATTCATTGTATGTAAAGTTAATTTGGGGGGTACATTAATATTTAATATTTAGCGCCCACTATCTGTAGCATAAATTTCTGATTAGTCTTGAACTTTGAGTCCAAGTAAGGAATTTTTCACTAATAAAATGATTGTCATGGTTTTCTGTAAACATGTCATGAGTTGCAGTTGAAAAATTTTTATAACTAATTGAAAAGAGTCCTTGAACACAGAGTTGTATCATTAATTTTTTCCTTTTAATTTTGTGGGTCTTTTTAAACCACTAATAGTTCTATAATTTACTTTTCTTCCTTTTTAATTATATTTACTCGTGGAAAATTAATCAACAAACTCTTGCTTCTCATTTCACTTTTGACTTTTTCATTGTTCTTTGTGTTATGGGTATATCCTGACTAAAATATTTCTTACAATCTCTTATTAAGTTATAAAATAATTAGTAAATTTAAGATTATAACAAGATGATTATAATAAATATTTTCTTCAGAAGTGAATCTTCTAGCATTTGTTTATACTGAGCATAAAGGATATGGATAAAATTTTACTAAAAGTTTAAACTAATCTTGGGAATATTTAGACAGAATTGTGGGATAAATTATGGATATGTACTCTCATTTATATTAAGTAGATGAACTATATAATCAAAGAAATATTTGGAAATATACTCATGAATTAATAGTAAGAATAATATCTAACAAAACTGTAGTCATCAATGTGTACTTTTGAATATTTGGAAAATCTGAAGGAGGTAAAATGTTCCGCTTTATCTTGATAATATTTGTCAAACAGTAACACGTTGAAGATACTTAACACATTATGAATTCTGCATACTTTGCCCTTATGTATATTTCAGAAGTACATAAACAGATTTATTAATTGTTTTTAGAAAGTAAATTTGAAACATTGAGTTACAAGAAAAGTGTTTTGGGCAAGTTTTTTGTTAGTGAATATAACTGGATCAGTATCTTGATTAAGCATTAATATGAATAACAGTTAATTTTTTTTGGTTTTTGAAGTCTTAAACTCTCTTAGTTGAGAAAATTAAGGTTATACTTATTCTCCTGTAGTAGTCGGTATTAACTAATTAAGAATATTTACAGATGATGTACTGTGCTCTAGTAAAATTACCCAACCAAAACGCTTCTGACTTTGAATGCTAGGCAGCTGTAGTCACATGTAGATAGCACAATAACAAAAGACAAAAGACAGATATTTTTATCTCATGTAATACAACTATGTTTTTCTTTAAAAATTTCTCTGTAATTTCTTAGATATATTTTTTGTCTTCTTTTGAACTTTATATGCAGAAAAAATACTTGAAATATTCACCAGTATATGCCTCCATTATGTTTATTTTCTTCTAAACACAGAATTTTTTTTTAATTTATTTTTACTCAGTATTGCACAGTCTCAGAAATTTATAGCAGAATTACTCTAAACAGAATCTGAATGTTTAAAAAAATTCAGAATCTGATTCTTTACCCAACCAATCTGCTGTCCCAGGTACGACTAATTTAAGAGAATACAACATATATAATTGAATTGGGAGTATATTCATAAGCAGTGTAATACTGTGTTCACATTGCATTTATATAAGGACACCAAGCAATTTTTTTCCATGTCTGATTAAATTAAAATAAAAAGACCTAAAAAACTGAACCTAGTTAAAACTAATGGAGAGAAATTTTCAGATGTGTAGGAAGCAAGCTTGTTTTAAAATGCAAATATGTTATAAAATAAGTAATGGGAATGTAATGTATAGCATGGTGACTGTAGTTAGTAACACTATACTGTATTTTTGAAAGTTGAATTAAATAAATCTTTTTTTTATTAGGTTATCTATTTTTTTATTTTATTTTTTTACATAATTTTTCATTTTTGTACCATAGTTGACCATAAATCCTTGTAAAATTCCCACTTCCCATTCACCCATGAACTGTCACCATAGTCCCTTGTGCTCTTCCCTCCTTTGTTTTGATCCTATTCCTTTCTCCCCCACTGTAGTATGTCTCTGGTTTATAGTTGCCTGTCGATTTTGATTTTTACTTTATGAATCAAATAAATCTTAAAAGTTCTCACTACAAGAAAAATTTTGGTAATTATGTGTGGATTACTTGATTTATTGTGGTGACCATTTTGTATTATATGCAAATATCAAATCTTTGTATACCTGAAACTAATATACTTCAATTGTATTTCAATAAAAAGTCAACTAAAAAATCTCAATATAGTATCATTTAAAACTTGTTTATTGGGCCTCCCCGGTGGCGCAGCGGTTGAGCGCTGGGTTGCGAAGCTGCCTGAAGCCTCCGCGGCACCGGTTCGATCCCCGGCTGCTCCCCGGCCACTGGAGGAGGGTCCCGCATGGCGCGCAGACCTCTCCTGCCGCCCGCTGCTCCCCTCAGCAGTGTACTTCGTCAGTCTGCCTGCTCTGCTCCCCGCTCTGGCTCTGGTGAATTCTCTCACCCTCCCGCGCTTCCGACTGTACCCAGTGCTTGTATAAATAAACAAATCTTTAAAAAAATAAATAAATAAATAAAACTTGTTTATTTTGGGTATTTTAAGCTGAGTTATTTAAGAAAACTATTCTTTAGCTTCAATAACTTCTGAGCTACCAATAATGGATATGTATACTTAAGTTAGGCTATTATTAGTTCTGGTGACCTTGCATTTTTTTTTTTTAAGATTTATTTATTTATTGATTGATTTATTGATTTATACATGCAAGCACTGGGTACAGTCAGAAGCGTGGGAGGGCGAGAGAATTCACCAGAGCCAGAGCTGGGAGCAGAGCAGGCAGAAGGACCGAAGTACACTGCTGAGGGGAGCAGTGAGCGCCAGGAGAGGTCTGCACGCCATGTGGGACCCTCCTCTGGTGGCCGGGGAACAGCTGGGGATCGAACCGGCGCTGCAGAGGCTGCGGGCAGCTTCGCAACCCAGCGCTCAACCGCTGCGCCACCGGGGAGGCCCTTATTTTTGATTATATAAAGGAAAGTCATAAATTTTAAGTATAAACTTGGATCTGAGAACTTTTCTGGAGTAATTTGGTATGCCATTTAAGGAGTGGATGAATAATCATACATAAATTTTGTTTTAGTACTATTGCATGGTTTCATTCTGGTTTCATTTCTCTAGCACATTAAAGATGAAAAACAAGAACCTGATTTTCTACCATCAGCTAGAGGAACATTTAACATCTCCATCAGTGGGGGTAAGTACATATTGGGTTTTTTCCCCCCAAGTTTATTGAAGAAAGGAGAACAAGGAAAGACTGATTTCCGCTAGACAGACAGAGATGAGCAGTCTTAATGAACAAGAGCTGCCCATATTGGTTTTGATTTCTAATTTATTTTAACCATTTGAAAGCATATAGTCCCTAAGTTCCACTTAGAGACCTTTGTCATAGATGGTAGAGGGTTGAAAAGAAAGACTCAGTATCACTTATACATGTAATCAGTGCCTTGGAAATGATGGTATGTTCTTAGAAACTGTATAATGATCTTTATTAATCCAGTTTAAACAATCTGGAATGTCTATTACATACACCTCAGGAGTTTTCCGTAGATCTCAATAGCTTATGTTAGAAATTAATCCACCATTTTTATTCAGAAATTAGTATTGTGTTCTCTAATATGTGTGCATGTAAACATTGATATGTGTATTTTTCCTTCTAACACTAACTTCATTTAAGTTGTGTATTGTTTTCTTATTGCAGATATTGATGGTTTAATTACTCAGGCTTTGCTGACTGGTAATTTTGAAAGTGCAGTTGACCTTTGTTTACATGATAACCGCATGGCTGATGCCATTATATTGGCCATAGCAGGTGGACAAGAACTCTTGGCTCGAACTCAGAAAAAATATTTTGCGAAGTCCAAAAGCAAAATTACCAGGGTATGTTATTTTAAAAATACATAAATAATAGCATCTGGTTATAAAAGCAGTGTATTCTTATTATAGATAATTAAAATGCAAGAAGCAATAAAAAGCAAAAAATCCACCCATAATTCCTTGACCTGGAAATAGATATTTGTGGGCAGTTTGGCATGATTATTCCAATTTTTGTTTTTTTGCATGTATAATGTTTTTATTCTCATGTTTTTTATTGAGGTGACATTGTCTTACATCATTGTTTATATTTTAGAAGTATAGGATCCCCCTCTTCAGGTGTTATTACCATAGTCTACCTGCCACCAAAACACCCATAATCTAATACCATATTCCTTTGTGTTCTTTCCTAACTCTGGTTGCCTCAGTTCTTTAGTGAGCTTTCAAGGGTTAATTTTTTAGTTTGACTTTTCCTAACCCTTTGGTTTCTCTATATTCCACAGATAAGTGACACCATCCACTATTTGTCTTTCTTTTTCTAACTTCTCTTAGCATAATTCCTTCTAACTCCATCCATATTGCATAGGTTATTTTTATTTTTATTTATTATTATTATTGTTTTTAAAGATATATTTATTTATACAAGCATGGGGTACAGTCAGAAGCTCGGGAGGGTGAGAGATTTCACCAGAGCCAGAGCGGGGAGCAGAGCAGGCAGAAGGACCGAGGTACACTGCTGAGGGGAGCAGCGGGCAGCAGGAGAGGTCTGCGCGCCAAGCAGGACCCACCTTTGGTGGCCAGGGAGCAGCCAGGGATTGAACTGGCGCTACAGAGGCTGTGGGCAGCTTTGCAACCCAGCGCTCAACCGCTGTGCCACCGGGGAGGCCCTGCATAGATTATTTTTAATTGAAAAATGTTTTTCATATTTTTTTGTAAAAAACTTAGAAAAATTTAAAAATAAACATTTGAACACCTCCCGATTCTTCCATCAGATCAGTACATATCGTTTCATCCCTCTTTCTGTGTGTTTGTAGAATTTTTACAATAGAATCAGGATTATATATATTATATATATATGTGGTTTTGCTTATAGATATTGTTACTGTTATTGTATTTTTCCATATCAGGGATTCTTAACTAATTTTATCTTTTTTTATTTAATAAAGATTTTCTGATTGCTCTGTATTAAGGATGTTATTTCCCTTATTTTAATATTTAGTCCATTTCTCCTATTTTCCTAATATAGACAAAAGTGATAAGCATCCTTGTGTCTAAAGATTTGTGTGAATTTCTAATTGTTTAATAGGACTGTAGTTCTTGGAAGAGAATTTCTGGTGCAGAGTCTCTGAACATTTTTAAGTCCCTGCTTGATGTCTAATTCTTTTCCATAAAAGCTGTCCCATTGTTCCGTCCCACCACATTGGCTGCTGTCTTTCTCCCAGCTTTGTTTCATGTCTCTGCCCTATTAATCTTTTAGCCACACTGGTAACCTTGCAGTTCTTCACATATGCCATGTTCCCTTTTCCCTCTGAACTTTGCACATAGTGTTCCTTTGGCCTGGTTGTTTTTTATATTTTTTTCTTCTCGAGAAAGTTAATTTTGACTTCATATGTCAAATGTCTGTTGTTCAGGGAATTTTTATTGATTCATCAAACCTAATCATATCTTCCTGTTAAATGTTTTGATAGCACCCTATACATTTCTTTCTCAGCATTTTATGAAGTGTGTTTTGTGTGATTTTTTTTTTTTTTTGAGGAAAAATAATACTACCTTTTAGGTCAGTTGGTTCAGGGATATTTATTTGCTGCTGCTCTATTCGGCATGAAGTGTTATGTGTAGTTTTTTTGAGAGACATGATTGAATAGTGAGAACTAATTTTCATTAATAAAGGATTTTAACTTTCCCTTTGTTTCCTTTTTTCCCAAGCTAATTACTGCAGTGGTGATGAAGAACTGGAAAGAGATTGTTGAGTCATGTGACCTTAAAAATTGGAGAGAGGCTTTAGCTGCAGTTTTGACTTACGCTAAACCAGATGAGTTTTCAGCCCTTTGTGGTAAGAAAATGAGCTTCATATTTCTATTACATATTTATATGGCATGGTATATTATAGATAAGATTAATGACAATTTTTAATAGAAATTGATGTAAACTTAGAAATCGCAAATAAGAAGTTCTCAACTACTTTTCTCAGAATTATTAACTATATTACTTCTCTATACCTAGTCATTATTTTTAATTATACTACTCAGTGATTTTGGTTTCAGATAGATCAGACATGGAAGTCTTACCTCTACCACTTACTAGGTGTATGCGCTAAGAAAAACTGCTTTCTAAAGCCTCAGTCTATTTATATGTAAAATGGCACATAATTAGCAGTCACTTTTTAATGTTAACTTGATAAAGTTAGTAATTATAGCATCTGAGTAGAAAGCACCATTAAAGACCTTAACTGGTAACTAAGGAGTAAGTATCATTATTTGAACAATAAAGGCTACCGTCTGCTATTGTAAGAATTAACAACCTTTAAAGTATTTAAGATATCCCTAAAAGAATACCTTGAAAGTAGTAATAGAACACAAAAATTATAAGATATTTTATCATAAATTTTATTAGACCTAATAACTATGTGCCATAGTTTAGTCTGCTACTACAAAAACATTTGATGTGATGAAATGGGGTCAAATATTCATTAAGATTTTTCTGTTCACATATTTTTTCCATTTATTATTTTTTTCTAATATAAGTGATAGAAATCTATTCTATAGCTAGCTATTTCGAACCTTGTCACATTGTGTTATATACAACTTGTCACACACTTCCATTCCTGTAATAGTTACTGAGCATGGACATGACAGAATGATTTTGTTTCTACCTGCTACTCATTAGTTGTTAAGTTTAATCTCTACCTCCAAAAATATTATTGGACTTCTCAAACCTCATATACAGATTGCCTTGAGTATAATCTTATTTTCCTTTTTATATTTAGATCTCTTGGGAACCAGGCTTGAAAGTGAAGGTGATAGCCTCCTACAGACCCAGGCTTGTCTCTGCTATATATGTGCAGGGAATGTGGAGAAGCTCGTTGCATGTTGGAATAAAGCTCAAGATGGAAGCAATCCTTTGTCTCTTCAGGTTGGTATTTTTGACAAAAAGTGCTTACTTTTTAGTGCTGTCTTTCACCTTTCTCAAATTCGTTTGTTATGGAAGTTTTGTTGCTTTCCACCCCACTGTTTTACACTTTAAAATTCTTTTGCTGAGGGGCCAAGTAGTAAAATGGATCTCAACCTTTAATGGGAACAAGGTTGTTATTTGGTAGTTTATTGGGGGAAGTAGCTGGCAAGAACATGGAAACAGCCTATGGCTTACTTCCTTTATTCTCCCTCTCCCCTTTCTGCCTCCATTAACTCTGTCTGCTTGGTGAAAGAAGGAAGCACTATTGAAGGCATTCCCAAATACTTACAGCGAATCTTGTTTAGGGAAAGTGAAAGTAAAAGGTTAATGGAATCCCATGTAGTATCAATATATACAAGAGAGGAAGTGAAAAATGTGAAGACTGTTGTCAGGCACTAAGTAACTGTATATTTAGATTTTTCTCCCTAAGCATTTAGTCAGCAGAATCTCATGATTCATTCTGAATTTTTTTTTCTCTCTGGAAAGAGATTTTTCTGTATATGGTTGATGCTTGAAAGATCAAGGTATTGAAACAGAAAATCTAGTAAGAAATCAAGGATTTTTTTCTAAGTGCTTATGAAAACAAATATTTGTACATTTCTGAATTTCTACATTTATGAAGGGTAGGTAAATAGATAGTCTTGTGCGTTTTACTTAAAGCTAAACTCCCCATTGTTGAAAGAATTGTTATTGAAGAGCAACACAAGAACCTATTTGGAGATCAGTCTTGTAGTAATACTTTTTTTATAGAACAGGTGATGTTTTCATGCATAGTTCCTCGTTTATCTGCTAGAACCTATTTTTCGCCTTTGAACATCTGCTTACCTTCACTTTTGATATTTGCCTATTTTTTGCACACTAGGCACGTACCTGGCAGTTTAAGGGTATTTTGCCATGAATGAGAGATTTTTTTTAAAAGATTTATTTATTTATGCATCCAAGAACTGGGGTATAGGCCAGAGGTGTAGGTGGTGGGGGGGTGAGATGATTCACCAGAGACAGAGTGGGGAACGAAACAGGCAGACTGACTGAAATATAGTGCTGAGGAGAGCAGCAGGTGAGATAGGAGAGGTCTGCTGTGCCATGTGGGTAGCTCCCTGGCCAGGCATGGAACTCATGCTGCAGAGGCTGAGTACAGCTTCATAGTGCTGAGACTTAACCCCTTGCGCCATTAGGGAAGCCCATGAAAAAGAAATTTTTTTTTTCCTCCTTATTTACCTACAAGGTAGTCAGCTAGTTCAGGTATTTGTAAGAGCAGTAATAATAGATTCTGGTTTTTTATAAGTTTTAGACATCTTAACTGTTTTATCTTCTCCTGCTTCCTTTCGTGCACACCTTGGTATCTTTGTTGCTCCTTCACTCCCTTTCCTTTTTCTCACTTAGGATCTGATTGAGAAAGTTGTCATCATGCGAAAAGCTGTACAACTCACCCAAGCCATAGAAACTAATACCATAGGAGTTCTTTTGGCTGAGAAGATGGGTCAGTATGCCAATTTGTTGGCAGCCCAGGGCAGTATTGCTGCAGCCTTGGCTTTTCTTCCTGAAAACTCCAACCAGGTAATTAGAATGATGATTTTTCTTTCAATGTATGACAGAGGTGAGTCCAGTAGATAGCACTCAGTGTTAAACATAACTATATTAGTGAGTGGAATGTTTTCAAGCAGTGGTCTGCCACCTGACTATATATGTATGTAACTGACATTACTTAAAGGATTATTTTTGGCGAACTCATGCTGGGTCAGAGATAAGATGCTCTTGCAGTATGATAGATCTCTTTGTACTGAGAGAAACATTTGAGGAAAATAAATGGGAAAAGGGCCAACTATCTTATTCTTAAGTCAAGTGCTGACTGGTGTACAAGGTTCTTTGTAGAGATCGTCTGTTGTAAAGCTGTAAACATTAATATTTAATAAATCAAGTGGAGTTGTGATTTTTTTTTTTCAAAAGATTTATTTATTTATACAAACACTGGGTACAGTCAGAAGCGCGGGAGGGTGAAAGAATTCACCAGAGCCAGAGCGGGGAACAGAACAGGCAGACTGACAAAACACACTGCTAAGGGGAGCAGTGGGCGCAGCAGGAGAGGTCTGCCATGCCATGTGGCACCCTCGCCAGCCAGCCGGCCGGGATCGAACCAGCGCTGCAGAGGCTGCAGGCAGCTTTGCAGTCCAGCACTCAACCGCTGTGCCACCAGGGGAGGCCCTGGAGTTGTGATTTTAAAATTACCACAGTGCCATTCCACATAGTAGCAAACAAGTTCATTCTATATATCATTTCAGTCTGATGCCATCTGTGGGCAAGTATATTTTTAAAGTGTTCAAGGCAGAGGGAATGACATCATGTTCCTAATTTAGTGTCCTTAGCTGGTATGCAATAAAACGCAGACTTTTTCTTGATATTTGTTTCAATTCAACTCAATAAATTACTGAGTATATATCCTTTCCCTAAGGAGGTTTCCAAACTCAAAATGATTATAGATGAGTAAACATGGGGTTTCTAAAGTGTAAGTACTGTGATAGAACTAGCAGTGCCAACAGAGCAGAGAGGGAAACCTAAAACCAAAGATGAAGCATGGGTGGAAGTCAGGATTGGGTTTGAGGAATGTTTTTTACAAGTAAGATGTTTATATCTGCATTTTGTGTGTGATAAGAGCCTAATTTTAAGCCTTGCAGATAAGTTGTTGTTTCTGTACTTTTTATTGTAAACATTTTATCTGTCATAGATCTTTTATGATTTGTTGTTCAGTATTTTGTGTATTCTAGGGAATTACAAATAAGTTTCATTTAGTAATTTCAGTGAGTTAAAATACTTATATCTAAGTAGGACTGTGGAAGTATGATTCTCTAGTTGGTTTTGTATACACTTACTTGTAGGATTCAGTACATATCTTTCTAAAATGTTAGTGAGAGTGTTAGGTAGAATGGAAATAGTCTTTTTTTTTTGGCTTGGTATAATAGTTCTGTGAGACTTTTGACTTACTAAGGTCTTGTTATTATAATGAGATGAAAGACTCTTTAAGACTAACTTAATCTGAGACCTTTAGATCTAGTTTTAGAATTAAGCCTTTTATTTTCACTACTATTTATAACTACTTAGATATTTCATATATTTTTCTAACTTTTAAGGAACATTCTTTATATAAGAATAATTTTGATGTTATTTACTCCTGTGTTTCTCAGAAGACCTTTAATATTTTGGGGGGAATATATCCTGACACTTTGTGATATCATATAGTATATAATTCTTCTCCATAAAAGGCAATGAAGTATACCTAAAAAGTTTAAATGACATCTTTAAATCTCTAATGAATTTGTAGGAATTATATAAAGATACTATTTTTTTTTTTAAGATTTATTTATTTTTTATTTATTTATTTATTTATTTATTTATTTATTTACACAAGCACTGGGCACAGTCAGAAGCACGGGAGGGTGAGAGAATTCACCAGAGCCAGAGCGGGGAGCAGAGCAGGCAGAAGGACCGAAGTACACGGCTGAGGGGAGCAGCGGGCGGCGGGAGAGGTCTGCGCGCCATGTGGGACCCTCCTCTGGTGGCCAGGGAGCAGCCGGGGATCGAACCGGCACTGCAGAGGCTGCGGGCAGCTTCGCAACCCAGCGCTCAACCACTGCGCCACCGGGGAGGCCCTAAAGATACTATTTAAAGATACTAAAATGAACTCTTGCTGAAACAGTTTAATGCAGTCCTTTTTTTTTTTTTTTTAAAGATTTATTTATATAAGAACTGGGGTACAGGCAAGAGGTGCAGGAAGGTGAGATCATTCACCAGAGACAGAGCAGGGAGCAGAACAGGTAGACAGACCGAAAACAGTGCTGAGGGGAGCAGTGGGCGAGGCAGGAGAGGTCTGCCGCTCCATGTGTGTATCTCACTGGCCGGCCTAGAATCAAACCCGTGTTGCAGAGGCTACAGACAGCTTCACAGAGCTGCGCTCAACCTGCTACGCCACTGGGGAGGCCCTTAATGCAGTGTTTTTTGTTGTTGTTTGTTAACACCCAAAATATATACTCATAGATCTATGTAATTGTGTATGTCTGTAAGCTACCCTGAATTTGTCTTACTTATTTCAAATGTCTGTGGGATTTTTTTAATTAGTTTTCATCTTTTTTAGCTCACCATTTTCTCCATCATCTTTAGCACTTGTTTCTCTTTTGGAGACTTTTTCCCTGCAAAGAAACAAAATTGTGTGTTTTTAACTATTTTTGTGATTTGTGAGCATTATTCAACTACAAAGTAACAGCAAAGAGCAATGGTGATGAGCGACATGGATCTTGCACACTTCCATGCAGTGGGCATAATACAAATTCCTGCATTAGTTAAATTACAAGTTATGCTATATATCAGGTACCTTTGGTGTCAGTCTCGACTATGAGGAACAATAATATCATATCATTGAGTTCGGGGCTACTGTACAATATAGAGCATATGAGCAAAAGGGGATCTCTAAAATGATCAAGGTTACTTTAAGAAAATCAGCTGTCATGTAGTTGGGTGAACTCTAACTACTTGCTTTGTTTTCTTCTGTTGCTTATTACAGCCAAATATTGTGCAGCTTCGTGACAGACTTTGTAGAGCACAAGGAGAACCTGTAATAGGACAGGAATTACCCAAAATTCCTTATGAGAGGCAGCAGCTGCCCAAGGGCAGACCGGGACCAATTACAGGCCACCCACAGATGCCAAGAGCTACAACTCAACAATATTATCCCCATGTGAGTGATACGGTCCAGATTAAATTAATGTATTTCTGTTCAAATTGGTGGTTTTAATTTGTTGGGTCCAAGAGATTTTATCTGTGGTAGACAACATAGTATTTTAATAGTTATCTCTTCAGATTCTTGAAAGTATATTTATGTCTTTTGAAATGATTGCTTTTTTCTGATCAAGGATTAGCTTTTAGATATAAAATAATTTAAACTTTCTAGAGAGATTTCTTTTTATTTCTCCATCGCTCAAATTCCCCTTACATATATACATCTGTTCTTGAAACTTTTTCTATGTGATTCACCTGAGTAACTTCAGGAAACTTTAGAAAAAGTAGTCATTTTGTGAGTGATTTAGTTATTTTGACAAAATATTTTTGTAAAATAATTTTGTTTGTTTTTTTCCCTAGTATTTTCAGAATTATTAGTATAGGTTTACTGTGGCTTCTCTATCAGTACAATAGAGTATTCAGAAAATAAACTTTTGGGACAACTTGCATATTAGAGAAAAGTGAATACCTAAGGTTTATGGGGAATGTGAAGGGGATTAAATAAATGTATTATTTACTTATTAAATTAAAATTACCAATTAAAATATGTGACCTTTTATTGTCTTTTACTATTTTGTATAGAAACATATTTCCAGGCTAACAAGTAACATCTCTTTTCTTCAATGAAAAGTATATGTTCATAAATAGTAAATGATCTAATAAATATAATGAAGTAATAAATCACTTATAAGTGACTGATAACAAAATTAGCAGGGACTTTGCCTATTTTATTTTATTTTTAAAGATTTATTTATTTATTTATACAAGCACTGGGTACAGTCAGAAGCTCGGGAGGGTGAGAGAATTCACCAGAGCCAGAGTGGGGAGCAGAACAGGCAGACTGACGAAGTACACTGCTGAAGGGAGCAGGGGGCATGGCAAGAGAGGTTTGTGCACCATGTGGGACCCTCGCCAGCACTGCAGCTTTGCAGCCCAGCCAGCGCGCAACCGCTTCTCCACCGGGGAGGCCCACTTTGCCCATTTTAAAATGGGCAAACAGGGCCTCCCTGGTGGCTCAAGGGGTTAAGTTTCAGCACTATGAAGCTATCCCCAGCTACTGCAGCACAAGTTTGATCCCTGGCCAAGCAGGTGACCCACATGGTGCAACAGATCTCTCCTGTCTCGCCCTCTGCTCTCAGCCGTGTATTTCAGTCAGTCCTCCTGTTCTGCTTCCCACTCTGTCTCTGGTAAATATTCTCACCCCTTCTCTCCTGTGCCTCTGGCCTGTACCCCAGTTCTTGTATGCATAAATAAATAAATAAAAATAGAATAAAATGGGCAAACAAGCTGCTAATATGATTAACAGGTTTGTTCTTTTTTTAATGGTCTTTTTTTTTTTTAACATTTTGCTATAGTGAAAGTAAGTATAAAATCATGGATAACTAACAAAAAAACCAATTCATGCTCCTTTTATCTATTTCACTTTTTATTAGCCCCTAATCAGGATAGATTACATTTGAATATAACTGTTAACTCTCAAGAGTATTCTTTCTTTTTCTTTCATTTCACAAATATTTATTGAGAGCCTGCTCTGACTGCCTGGCTGTATTCTACTTGTTAAGGGTATATTGGTAAACCAAAACAGATTAAATTTCTTATTCTTGTGGAAATTGCACTAGACATAGAATATCTATGAGACAAATAAGGCAAATCAGATGATGGCTGAGAAAACTGAGAGATGAAGGGGAAGAAGTCAAGTGATCAGCCAGAGTTTTTAAGACATGCAGTTTAAATTTCTCAGCATTTTGGGGCTAGTTAATAACCAGCAAGGCATTAGAACTCCCAGGCACCTGGAGTTCAATCACACTGTCTCAGGGTACTGAAGTAAGGTATTTTCTACTTTGGGAAAGATTGTTTACTTTTCACCTCCCTGGACTTATCTTTCTTCATGGAAAAAGATAAAAGCATTGAAAGACTTTTGTTACACTTTGATTTAGCAATCTCATAAGAAAAACAAATTCAACTATGAATTAAGCAGTGATTTTCTTGATTAAAGCTTATGATATGCTGCATGAAGGCAGTGGCTTGTGGTTTTAAAGCAGTGTTTACAGGCGGAGCTAAAGGGGGAAAGGGTAGGCCATGTTAATAGATCACTCCCACTTTGACCAACATGTCTTCGATTTTAACTGAATATATCTTGGAGTCCTTACAAAAATTTACTTGACAAAAAGATTTTGATGGCTTTAAAATAAAGTTGAAAATTACTGGACTCCAGAGCAAGAAGAATGGTATAATGTAGCAAACACTGGCCAAGGAGTTAGGCGACCTGCTGTCAGTCATAGCTCCATTACCATGTTGTATGGACTTGCGCAAATCCCTTCCCTTCCCAGGGTCGTGGGTTTCTCAGTGGTAAAGGGTGAGAATTACACTGGACAGTCTTTGATATTCAGCTTTAGTATTCTCAGAATGTATTATTCTAAGCCTCATACGGGACTAATATGATTTTTGTGGCTCTAATAAAATCTAATGAAATTTTTATGGCTATAATGAGAGCTTATAGCTCTGTGTTTACAGATCTGATAGTAGCATGAATACTACTAATGCTTCAAAAATCACTTTTTTACTCCTTTACCTTTTTTCTGGAATGTCTTCTTTCCTTTGTTGCTTACAGGACTTAGCTTTTTTTCCTTGTTCTTGAAACTTGGGCAACATTGTTCTTTGTGTTTTGATTTAGGTTTTCATATTGATTTTTCTCATCTCATTTTGTGAATTTTGAAATCCCAGCTACCTTGAAAGCAATTGCCAGACCTATGTATGCTCTTTTGCTGCTCTTATTTTTTCTTTGCATGGCTATTAATGCCTTTTGGGCCTTTTTTTTTCTTTTTTAACGTTTTCATTTTTTATTTTCTGTGATTGGTATTTCTTTGTTCAATTCAGGTTAGAATTGCCCCTACTGTCACTACCTGGAGTAACAAAACTCCTACTGCCCTTCCCAGCCATCCACCTGCAGCCTCTCCCTCTGACACACAGGTATATCCTTCATTATTCCTCTTTGAGCAGGATTCTGCTCACCTAAATATAAGATATATATATAATTATATCTTATCTCCCCCTTTCTTCAGGTTCACCTTCCCTTGTCTGCCTGCCTGCATTTTGCATTTTAATTCTTTTAGGATGCAGGAAGCAGTTTTTAGCACAATGAATTTATTTCCTCATCCTTCTCTTCTTCTACCCTTCTAAACTGACTTGAGCTAGAAAAACATCAGCCAAGGTTCTAACAATGATCTAATTCTGATTTCATTTAAGACCTTCTTTTTGTTTTCTTTTTTCTTTTCTTTTTTTTTAGCATTGCAGAAATTGAAGCGAAGCAAAAGTCCCCTGAGACATTTATACTTGTATTTCCAAAGTGTGGAGTAGTGAATGGAATTTAGTAGAGATGGAGAAACCTGGTGAATTATAAATATCATTGACACTATTATGAGGCTACTGGCATCTATTGCCATTCTTTGCAATTATTACTTCGGACCTATCTGATCTTTAAATCATTCAGAATGTGTTGTTCAGAAAATGTGTTCTAAACAAGATAGATTGTGCAAGATGCAGTGTTTCCTATGACTTTTTTTCTTTTTTGAAGTAAACATAGAATTCCATCTTAGAGCTTATAAATCCACAGGGTAAGGTTCTTGGTTCCAAATGTAATCTCCTTTTTACCATATTCTCATTTCTTAGGGAGAAAATCCTCCACCTCCAGGTTTTATAATGCATGGAAAAGTTAACCCAAATGCTGTCTCAACTCAGCTTCCCACATCTCCAGGTCATATGCACACCCAGGTATCACCTTATCTGCAGCCACAACGTAAGTAGTATGACCCTAAAGTTCTTTCACAGCTGCATGTCTTACCTCATGTATTTAACATTTACTTTGAAGTTCCAAAAACCATGATCAAATCAATTTAAGCAAGTAAATAAAGAACTATTCTGTTTAGGACTCAAATTCTTGCTATAGAGAACTGTGGTTTCTTAGTGGGCATCGTGAATCACCATGCTAGGAAATAGCTCCTCTCAGTCCATTGAGAACATTTAGCTACTGTTCCTGAGCCTATACTAAGACCTGTTAAAAAAAGGCAAATATCCCACTTTTGGTATTTTAAAAATAGAATTTTAGAAATAGTTTGACATAGTCTTTTCTTTTAGGCAAGATAATTTTCCAAGGCATTAAAAAAAAAGTTCCAAGAGATATTTGTTGCTGTTTTTCATTTTATTTTCAGAAACATTTTATTTTTAGTGCACTTTTGGATTCACAGCAAAATTGAGTAGAAAGTACAGCATTCCAATATACTCCCTACCTCAAAGCTCAACTTCTCCCACTATTAACATCCTCTTCTGCAGTAGTACATTGGTTATCATCTGTGACCTTAAATTGACACATCATCACCCAAAGTCCATAGTTTACTTTCAGGTTCACTCTTAGTGTTGTACAGTTTATGACTTTGGACAAATGTGTAATAATGACATGTATCCACCGTTAACTCTTATTATTTTAGAAAAATTTGTGCTTGGAAAGTAAAAAAAAAAAAAGCACAAATTGTAAGCAAAGAGTAAAAATGTCAAAGGGGGAAAATTCTGTGACTGTACAACTGTTACACAAACAAGACTGTTTATCTACTCCCTAATCTTAATTGAGGATGTTCTGTGTTAAAATGGGTGTTTTTCCTTAACATTAATACAAATTTGATACAACTTTCCTCTCTAGTGCTCAATGTATAAGTACTTTCTTCAGAATAGAATGAATACAGTTCTGGTACAGTAACTCTAGACGTTCATACCTACCCCTTGACAGGCAGAATGCTATAGTATTAAAGTCTCTCATGTAGGTTAAGGTCTTTGCATTAAAACATACTGATCTCTTACTAACCTACTCTGTACTATATGTGAAATATTATATAATGATCATTTTGTCAGGGATCGGAGAGAGTTTACTAATCTGGAACTGTGCTCAAACTTAGAATTTGAGTGGTTGGTGATTTTTACAGGATGCTGGAGAGAGATTTAGTTCATAACAAGGGTGTTCACCCTATGACCATTAAACTCCCTGTAATTTTTACTACGAAGTGGGATGCTTTTTCTGTATGATTCCTCCATGATTCCATCTGGTGGCTAGCAGGTGTCACTGCAGTCATGTCACAGGAACAGGACGTCTCAGAAAAGGATCAGTCTTGAAATTCTTGGGTCTGATGATTCAAAGAGTTTCATAGCCAGCAACAATCTGGAGATGGCAAGTTTCCAGTACTCGTTCTAATGACTATTAGTATATTTAAGGCAGCATCTGAACTATAAAAAGCATACAGTAGTGTTAATGCTTGGTTGTGACTTACTGGTGTAAGGAGAATGATGAAAATAAGCTCCATAGAATGAGATTACTTTGATTTTCTTTTGTTGAATAAACTTGTAACTAATTAAAATTTCTGTTTCTTCTCCTTGGTGTAGCTTATCAACAAGCCCAGCAGTATTCCTTCGGAACAGGGGGGTCAGCAATGTATCAACCTCAGCAGCCTGTTGCACCTTCTGCCTCAAATACTTATCCTAACACCCCTTACATATCTTCTGCTTCTCCCTATTCTGGGCAGTCTCAGCTGTATACAGCTCAGCACCAGGCATCTCCAACTACCTCCAGCTCTGCTGCTTCTTTCCCTCCTCCCCCATCCTCTGGAGCATCCTTCCAGCATGGCGGACCAGGAGCTCCTCCATCATCTTCAGCTTTTGCACTACCTTCTGGAACAACAGGTACACTGCCTGCTGCCAGTGAGCTGCCTGCGTCCCAAAGAACAGGTCTGCGCTTGAAAGGGATTTGGTTTGGCTCCTTCATTTATTTTTTCATGAACATGTGGATGGGTGGAGGGAAATTACTTCTGTTTGTAAACTGAGTAATAGGAGGTTTTAATTGGATTATTATAACAGATTTTAAAACTATATCTAAAAATGTGATTTTTCCCACAATGAACTTTAGTTGCTAAATGAGGAAAACTTTAGGACTTCAGAAGGATAAGAATAATCTACCATTGAGCTTAAAATAAGTGGTTAGAAATTAATTGACAAGGTAGTTAGTGGAAGGAACCAGAATTAATTGACACTGATTTTTTAATAAAGCAAAACTATGCTCTATGCCCATAGTAAGACATTTTCAAATTTAAAAATTATTTGTACCGTAAACTCATACAGGGAAACTAAGTAGTATAGGGTCTTAATGAGATTGTACTAATTTTATAATTTTGTTTATTTGTAAAGGTGAGGAAGGATCTTAATATATTTACCTAAAGGAAAATAAGAGAACACATCTCTGACTGAGAGACATCAGTATGTACTAGTCCAGTCATTATCCATTAGGGCAATACCACCCTCTTGGATATTTTGGAAATTTCTAGGAATTTTTTTTTAAAAGATTTATTTATTTTTATACAAGAACCGGGGTACAGGCCAGATGCACAGGAGGGTGAGAAGATTCACCAGAGACAAGGCGGGGAACAGAACAGGCAGACTGATGAAATACACTGCTGAGGGGAGCAGCGGACAAGACAGGAAAGGTCTGCTGCTCTGTGTAGGATTCTCTCTGGCTGGCTGGGATCGAACCCGCGCTACAGAGGCTAAGGATAGCTTCGCAGTGCGGCGCTCAACCGCCTGCGCCATCAGGGAGGCCCTAGGAATTTTTTTTTTTTAATCTAGTAGTGTAGTGCCTGAAAATTCTTAGTTAAAAATTATTTTTAAAACAATGTTTTATAAATTAATTTTATCATGCTTAATCACAGTGAAAACTCTTAATTTTTTATTGGTCAGTTATATTATTTGATTTTCATTTCAGGATAGTAAAAGAGTCCTCAAAAGCATGTATTTTAAAAAGGGATCAATGAGTTAGGGTGAAGAACCACTAACATTGGTTAAGAATGCAGGGTTTGGAATTAGGTTTCTTGGGTTTGTATCTTAGCCTCACTACTTTCTCATTATATGACCTTGAGTAATTTACTCTACTTCTTTAAGCCTCAGTTTCTGCAGGATAGTGATAGCACCCACTCGATAAGCTTATGAAGAAGATTGAAAGCGTTAATAGATTGAAAGCATTTAGGGACAAGGCTGGCATATTGTAAACACCTTTTTAAAATGTTAACTGTGCTTTTACAAAACCAAAGTCAAAATTAAATGATTTTAAGGTAGAAGTGCAAAAAGATCATGTGCATTTTTATTTGCTCCTAATAATGAATTTGTTCTTGGAGAGTTCAGTGTAAAAATGTGTTTCTCCTTTTATGTGCTCAGTAGTAGCTTTAATTGCTAAAAAAATCAGAAAATAGGATTTACTGAGGAAATACTCTTTTCTCATAGTCTTACAAGTTCACAATTACACATACATCTCCTCCCCTCTTTGATATATAATTTTAAAGTCCGAAGTACCCAAATGACATGCAGTATGTTATCACCCTTTACTGCACAAATGAAATTTTAATAGTTTTCAATACAGGTACTTTAGTAGTTTGATATTTTATAGAGGAGTGCTAATTCAGTGCTAAGGGTTTTAAAATTACATTTTTTAAAATCAAATGAGTGAAGATAATATCTGTTCTGCATAGTTATATAATAGAGTTCTTGAGTAAAAGGTACATCCAAGCAAGTCCCCACTTTAAAAGTGGTACAGGCAAGTAGAGAAATGAATTAGCATTTATTGAACATATATTGGATCTCTACCAGCACTTGCTATATATGTTCTCGTTTCTCACAACCATGAGAGTCAGGCATCAGTATTTTATTTTTAATTGACGTGAGAAATTTACTTGAATGTCATAAGAGTTATAATGTTCTGAGGATGGCACAGTTATAGTTTCCAAGCTGAGATACAAACCCACGTCTCTCAATCATCAAAGCTTAGTTTCATTTTCTTTGCCAGATATGCTAGTCCTGATTTTAGTGGTGGAAATAACAATCAGTGTTGAAATTAAGAAAATCATATAGCAGAGCTGTTTTAGGGATCTGTTACTTTATCATCAAGTTAAGTATTTGCATGGGGTTTTTTTGTTTGTTTTTTTTCCTACTTAAGTAGAAGTGCATTTGGCCGTGAGATAAAAATCTTTGCTTATATACAAAATAACAGAATGTTCTAACCTGGCTGAGAAATAGTGACTAATGGGAAGAAGAAGCCAAACATTTTTGTGTTCAGCATGCATTTAGCTTAGCTGGTTTGTTACTTCTTGCATGTTATAGTACCCTGTATTTTAAATAACAATAACAACTTTAGCATGATTTATTTTTTGATGTCCTAAAATTTTTGCTTAGGTTACATAAATAATTGTGACTGGAAAATTTATCTTTGTTCTAATGTGTCTTATATTGTATCATGGTTCTCCATAGGACTTAAGAGATTCCACTTGTCCAATAGATAATTCTTGACAAGCGCTAGAATTTTCAAGCCCTCTGCTCTTTGTGAACCATAAAATTATGTAGTCAGGGCTCAGAGAAATGAATGTTGCAATCTTCAAAACATTCCTTCCCTAAATTTTATTGAGTGTCTATTTAGTATATAATCACAGTTATTCCAGGGAGAGGTAGGAAAGAACAAAAGGTTAGTGAATCCTAGTGAAGAACTCAAAGCTTTGTTATAAATTGGAACATAAGGTTTGTATTTGGGTCATATTTTGGAAAACCTGAAAAGCCAGAAGTTTATGTTCATAAAATAAGAAGGAAAGCTCCAGTGAAGAAGTTTGAACTGCAGAGAGGCATGATTAAAGTGTTAATTGATGGAGATTAATCTGACCATGGGACAATAAAATAGATTGCGGCAGGCAGCAAGGTCTAATCACAGGGAAGGAAGACAGGCTCTTCTTCAGTTCTAGGTATAAAGTGAGTTAGGAGAGTGCAACCTTGTGGTGGCAGCAACAGGAATGCTGGAAATTTTCAATTTTACTCTCTAGGATGAGTTGAATACTTCCTGTCTCACTACCCCCCCCCCCCCCCGGTTTAATGTGTGCTTGCTACAAAGGGCAATCTCTTTTAAATATGAAGGCCTTAAGAAATTGTCTCTAAAAATTGTTTTCTGATAGTGACCTTCAAGCTATAGAGGAATTGTCTTTTGAGTGAACATTATTAACTTTGTTAAACAATAGAAAATTTGATTCAAGTATATAATCTAGTGCTTCTTCACATAGAATAGTGTCGAAGGTGTATAATGTATATTTTCATGAAACAATGTTCTGAAAAAAATTTTTTAATTTTCATTATTATTCCTTAGTCAAATTTTAAGTACCTGTTTTAACTTTTTAAATAAAGGGAAGAACATGATAGCCTTCCTTACTTTTCTTTGGATAATTCTTTTATCTTGTGTCACTGGAAAATGACCTCAAGGATTCATGTCTTTGTAAATTTTAATTTTCAGTTTTGTGATTTTTTTTAATGGGGCATGTGAGATGTTTATGGTTAACAAAGATGCTCTGTTCTCTCCATCTCAAGTAACCCTCTAGTCAAAACATTCCATACCAATTTTACTAATAATTTTCTGTGAATACGCTGAAAAGTGTCTTAGCCAGTGCACAAATCCTGCCATTATGCTCCTACAAGAATACCCAAGAAGGTTCCCAGTGAGAAGTGAATTCATAGAAGGATTCCATGCAACTCCATTCTTGCATGTGAGACCAACCAATGCTGCCTTCTTCCTCCAAAGACTGGGAGTACTGATCCCTATAATAAGGTTCATAGGGGTCTACAGTGTCCGGTCACACGTCATATTGTTTCTAAATTAATTTTCCCTTTATATTTACTAATTTCTCACTGTAGGAAGTATTGTGAAAGACCCCAAATACTATATAAAATAAAATTGTAACTGTCACCCAAATATATAATCACTGATAATTTAGGTTTATTGACTCCCTTCATACACACATACATACAGATGCATTCTATAGATGTATCTCAGATATATATGCACATACTAATTTTTTAATGTGGTAAAATATATATAATAATTTAGCATTTTCACCATTTGTGGATATATAATTCAGTGACATTAAGTACATTTATAGTGTACAACCATCACCATCTCCAGAATTTTTTTGTCATGCATATTGAAATTATGTACCTATTAAATAATTTCTTTCTTTCCCCAACAACTGGTAATCCCTATTCTGTGTTTCTGTGTATTTGACTATTCATGGTGCCTCATAAGTAGAATCATAGAATATTTATCCTTTTGTGACTTATTTCACTGTCTTCAATATTCATCCTCATTGTAGAATATATCAGAATTTCTTCTCTTTTTAAGACTGTGAATAATATTCCACTGTGTATAAGTGTCACATTGTATAATATCCATTCACTGAAGATGAAATGGATATTTGGGATATTTTGAATAATGCTTCTATGAACATGAATATACAAATACCTGTTTGAGTCCTATTTTCAATTCTTTGGGGTATATACCAAAAGTGATACTCCTTTATCAAATAGTAATTCAGTGTTTAGATTTTTTTTAGGAACCCCTATACCATTTTCCACATTAACTGACCAATTTTCATTTCCTCCAGCAATGTATAAACGTTCCAATTTTTCCACATCCACACCAACAACATTTGTTTTTTTGGTGTTTTTTTTTTTTTTGATACTAGCTATCCTAGTGGTGTGACGAAGTGGCTCTTTCTGTGTATACTTTTTATATACACACACTTGAGATCTCACTCACACACTATTTTACACCTTCCATAATGTTTCCTTCATTTGCTTTTTTCATCCAGTGTTGCTATCAAAGTATGCCACTAAAAAGTAGAGGACAACTTCTGTTTTTTTTTTTTAAGTCATATTTAAATAGTATTTAAAGAAATAAAACAAAGATTAAAAGGGCTTAGAATTATAGCTGAAATGAGACTGCATTAAATTGATAATAGATAAACATAAAAGAGATGGCTAAATATATTGCATGGTTTGCAGTTAGGTGGAGTCAGTTAGGCATATATTTTGGGGTTCTTTGGTCATTGTACAGCTAGCTATTACCTTCTGTTCAATAGACAACTCATGTTATGTGGGCTAGCCAGCTGCTTATATATTCCTGTGAGAATCTTTTTGTTTTGATTTGATTGTTCCACTCTTAATTTTGAATTTAATTTGATTTCTTTATAACTTTGGTGTCATTTTACCAAAGGGTCATATCAAATTGTCCACAAATTGCTGCTAATAGTTTATGAAATCAGGATATTCATTCAGGCTTTAATACCCAGGTCTTAAGTCACTTCCATGAGAGATTAGAAAAAAAACTGCTGTCATCTTCTGCTCCTGCCTCTGTAGTAGGGTCAAGGCTAAAGTATTTCCAATACTTTGAGGTTAAGCCCAGAAACTGAAGTCTGGTGCTAAAGCATTAATCAGTAGTTGGAAATCAGGTTAGTCCTCTGCCATAATGCACACACATTGGCTTACAGAGGTTAACTAACTGTGGTGCTATGAGCTCCTGCCCTGGATGGGATGTTAGGTTGTAAAGTCAATGCATTTGAGGTAAAAATAGAATATCACTTATAGTTATTTATCCTTGATCACTCCTTTCTTTAGTTAAGTCTTCAGTGAAAAGTTGGCTTATGTTTAGGGCCCGTAATATATGAAAAACATCTATCTGCAAACTGCACAGTGAAATTTCAAGCTATGGGATTACTGTCCCTCCCTCACAGTTTCTCTGAGGCATGTGCTTCTTAAGCAGATCTCAAACTGAATTGAACTCACTAATTGAAATAATGATCTTAAATCCTCTCTTCCCAAGTGAGGATAGTTGAACTTCCACAAGTTATATTGATGTATATACCTCCTCTACATGCTTTTGGTTTGAGGCTGGCCCTGGCCTGACTCTGAATATCTGAAAATTTTGGAATTAGGTTACTTTTCAGTTTTTGTTTCCCTGTCTGGTATGCTAGAAACTTGTTTCTTAAGAGAAGTAATGATTTTTGAAAGATTTGTGCCAGTCTGCAATGCATGTCTTTACAGAAAAGGCCGTATGAGATGATTTACTGGACCTGTTTTCATTTATGATCTTATTCATAGTGTTACCCCAGGAATTATAGTTTCTCTAGAATGCAGATCTGAGGGCCTTCCAAAACCAGCAAAAAAGTGGTGCTACTTTAAGATTGCCTGTTGTGCTTATCTTTAACAAGAACAGTGCTGAAGTTTGCAGGACAGGTTAAAATCCTCCCATTCTTCTTTAAGTCCCTACTACAGAAAGAGGGTTTTTTGGCTAGCAGCATTGGCATTACCTGGGAGCTAATAGGAACAATAGAATCTCAGGTCATACACTATTTAGTGAATTAGAAGCTGCATCTTAACAGTACCCTCAACTCATTTGGCTTTACTGCTTTAAGTAATACTAAAATGGGCACATAGTTAAGTTAGGAAGTGCTCTCCTCCTCAATGATGTTACTGAACTTCATTGATATAATAGTAGAGAAATAATTTTTTTTTTTAAAGATTTATTTATTTATGTAAGAACCGGGGTACAGGCCAGATGTGCGGGAGGGTAAGAGGATTCACCAGAGACAGAGCGGGGAACAGAACAGGCAGATTGACTGAAATACACTGCTGAGGGGAGCAGCTGGTGAGACAGGAGAGGTCTGCTGCACCATGTGGTTTCTCCTGGCTGGCCGGGGATGGAACTCGTGCTGCAGAGGCTGCAGATCGCTTCATAGTGTGGTGCTTAACCCCTTGCTCCACCACGGAGGCCCAGTAGAGAAATAATTTAGGCAAACAGAGAAATGCTGTTTTTGTTTTTTTTTTTTTAAAGATTTATTTATTTATACAAGCACTGGGTACAGTCAGAAGCATGGGAGGGTGAGAAAATTCACCAGAGCCAGAGCAGGGAGCAGAACAGGCAGACTGATGAAGTACACTGCTGAGGGGAGCAGCAGGCGCAGCAGGAGAGGTCTGTGCACCATGTGGGACCCTCACCGGTGTCCAGGGATGGAACCGGCGCTGCAGAGGCTGCGGGCAGCTTTGCAGCCCAGCGCTCAACTGTTGTGCCACCAGGGAGGCCTGGAAATGCTGTTATTTTAAATGAAGAAGAGCAAAATTTTCTCTTGAAAGAGATGACACAATAATCGAAAAAGTGATACTTAAAAGTTAATTGGATCTGACACAACTTGAATTCACTACCCCAAAACTGTTTACTTTCTTAATTAGAAGATATTTGATGTGACTTGATTAAAAAGGAAGTTTTTTATGCCCTTATAAAATTAGTTCATTCTTTCTGTGGGGGGCAGATTGATGGAGGGAAAAGAACAATTAAAAAATGAGAAAGTTTAACAAATGTCTTTGATAATGGTACTGTTTAAGTGACTTTTACATTTTGTCTACAGAAAGTCAGTCTATGCAAGACCAGGCCCCTATGTTGGAAGGTGAATTGGTTACAAAAATAATATAAATTCAGAAATCTTTGAATCATTGAATACAATTATTGAATGGACATTCCCAATAATGCATGTGAACTTCAAAGCTGATGATAGCTTAAATCTGATCACTCTGATCTTTTAATTTGGCTTTTTGATTGAATCAAATTTAGACCTGATTGAAATAACATGGAAGCAAAAATGACTTTAAATCTTAAAAGTCAGATATTTCCTATAAATACAACCATTACATCAAGATTGTCTTAGATTCAAGTAAGATTAGAAGATGATAGAAGAGATTTGAATAGTTAATCTATGTCAGACTAGAACTTTTAAGAATTTCTGAGGCATATAATAGCATGTGGTTTAATATTTTGTGATTGATTCAAATGATTTCAGGCTCTTTTGGCATCCTATTTCCTAGTAAACTTGTGAGAAATTTTATTTTAAAAGTCAAGGTAAATGAGTACTGGTTAGGAGAAGATCCTGTGACATGAATCATAGGTTCTTTGATTTGCTAAACAACTTTGTTGTCATTTAATATCGTGGATATTAATAAAACAAGTGAAAGGTAAAATACTGAAAGAATGTTTATTGAAAGTGGAGAGTGATTTTTTTGTCTTTACTTATAAAATTAAGAAAACTCAGTGAAGTGTAAAATGACCATATTGCAATTTAGAAATTATTCTATCTTATTTTTGGCATGTTTTATTCCTATTTTCTTTAAAAAAAATAAAAAGGCATTAAGTTACTTAATGAGTGCCGCTATTGATGTGTAATCTCACTTTGAGATGACAGCATTTTTTGTTGTTTTTCATTTTTTGTTGTTTTGGTGGTTTCCCCCCTCATATCCCCCCCACCCCTCCATGGGCAGGGCATGGCTTATTGCCAAACAAGCACAGCAGATGTCAAATGCATCAAATTCAAAGAGAAAACACTTCCCATGGGGTAGGCTGGGCAGACAGTATTTTTGGTGGCTTTTTTTCCTTAGGAAATATACTGAAGTAGACAGATGTTGTGTTTTTTTGTTTTTTTTTTTTTTTAATTTCACCTTTTTTTTTTTGGCCAGTCTGAAGTTTGTGACATTTGAAAAAAAGGTAGTAAAAACTACTGATACATAATTGGGCTGGGTTTTTTTTTCAGTGTTTCTACTTTGAAGATTTGCTATGTTGAATTGCCCTTGGGAAATATGATAATGCTTTTATTTTTGTATATTGAATATATCAGAAACTTCTTTTTTTTTTTTAAAACAGACTCAAACAATTTATTTTCTCATTAGGAGAGATTTGTTAACTGATATTTGAAGGTTGTACACAGATGTAAATATAAAGACTTCATTATTCTTAAATTTAACATAACCCTTTCATTTTAAATGGAAATAAGGTCAAGGTATCTTGACTACTAAGCTCAGAACTTGTAACTATTAGAAGTAGTGAACTTGAGAATTCAGGGTTACATAATGATAACCTTACCTTACCTGATATAACTTTTGTGATAGTTATTTCAGATTTGAAGCAGAATTTAAAGGTATTATATTATGATAGATACAATTTAGTTTTCTTCTTTTCAAGATTCTAAAGGAAAATGCCTTCTATTATTTGTTATAGGTCCTCAGAATGGTTGGAATGATCCTCCAGCTTTGAACAGAGTGCCCAAAAAGAAGAAGGTAATAGAAAGAGATGTCCAATTGTCTATAAATGTTCTGTTAATCATGTGGCCTTCCAAGTGTCCAGCATACTTGACAGATCCTTTTAAAAGCAAACTTACTGACCAATACTTCCCTCTTCTATCCATGAAAGGAAAGAAAGTAGAAAACAATAGCAGCAAAATCTTGCACTGATTACGATGGTATGAATTAAGTCTCTTTTAGAAGGCAAGATATAAAATTCCCACCAGATCTTTTTCAAGGAGAGGAGAGCAAGATTTCAGGCTTCTCAAATGATATTTTTAGGAGTTACTTTTTTGGGAGTAAACATGAATTCGGTAATTTTATTTTTAACTAATGTTGCCCATGTCTCATAACATGAATAAAGAAATAAATAGCTGTGTAACTGAGCATTGTTTAGATGTCAGTAACTATTGACAGCTGATTAGAGCATAGGATGAATCTTTTCTCCTTTCTCCCTAAGACATTTTCTACTTTTTTTTTTTTTTTTTTTTTTTTTTGCTACTAATGATCCTCTTCCCCCAAATATAGTAATGAGAAACATAAGATTTGGGGACACTAAATGGGCAAGAAAATCCAAAATTTAGGATAGTAATGGTCAGAAACTTTGCCTGCTTTATTTAGTATGATTATTGACAGGTACTACTTCGTGATCTAGGAAAAGGTCATTACATCCAGATCACATTACAAACAAATACTTTTTGAGTATGTGATTCCAGTATCGCTACATATAATTCTTCAGACTTGGATATCTACTTTTAAACACACCATGTTTTGGCTCTAGTAAGTATGGAAGGTAAAAATGAAAGAGAAGTTCAGGTTTGAGCTTCCCACCTCTCTTAGCCAGCTTAGCTTTGCTTTTATATGGTAACTCTAGAAATAAGAAGCAAATTTCATTTGAAAACAGTATTCTATTTTTAAAAATTACTTTTTAACTATGGAATGAATACTCCAACTCCTTTATTTCAAACTGATGAAATGTTGGTACTGTTTTTTTTCTTACTTTCAGTGTCTTTTTATTTCTTTCTTTTAAAAGATGCCTGAAAACTATATGCCTCCTGTTCCCATCACATCACCAATCATGAACCCACTGGGTGACCCTCAGTCACAGATGCTGCAGCAACAACCTTCGGCTCCGGCATCACTGTCAAGCCAACCTTCATTCCCACAGCCCCATCTTCCAGGTGGTCAGCCCTTCCATGGCATACAACAACCGCTTGGTCAACCAAGCATGCCACCATCTTTCTCAAAGCCCAATATCGAAGGTGCCCCAGGGGCTCCTATTGGAAATACCATCCAGGTAACAACAAATTTGTGGAAGTGGAATGGGGAGATGGCTGCATTACAGTACATTTTTTTAATTTGTATTAACTTTATGATCACACCCTTAGTAATAAACAGAAACTTTGGCTTTAATTTAAACAACCTAGATAAAAAATGGTAACCCCTTTCTACGAATTAATCATGTATATATGTTATTTTTTCAATTGCATAGCCATATGCAAACTCTCTAAAAGAGGATTATGTATTTGCTAGTGTATGTTTACTATAACACAACAATTGCAGTGTTTCACTTTACCTAATTGTTGTCCCTAATTTAAGGTTGGTTGAATTCACTTTTGCATCCAAGGTTAATAAGCAGAAAACTGTTTCCAAAGGTTTTTGTCTTTAAAATATAAAATTAAGGGCCTCCCCGGTGGCGCAGCGGTTGAGCGCTGGGTTGCGAAGCTGCCCGCGGCCTCTGCGGTGCCGGTTCGATCCCCAGCTGCTCCCCGGCCACCAGAGGAGGGTCCCACATAGCGTGCAGACCTCTCCTGCCGCCTGCTGCTCCGCTCAGCAGTGTACTTCGGTCCTTCTGCCTGCTCTGCTCCCCGCTCTGGCTCTGGTGAATTCTCTCACCCTCCCGCGCTTCTGACTGTACCCAGTGCATGCATAAACAAAACAAACAAATAAATAAATAAAACATGCCTCTATTAAAAAAAAAAAACTATTAAAAATATATATATAAAATTAAAATATAGTGACATCTTTTCTTGTGTGTATATTAGAGCTAATGATACAGCCTTATTTTCAAATGGAGATAAAGATTTATATTTCCTTTTCACATACAAATAGTTGGCAAGTGGTTAAAAAAATCTGTCAATCACATTTCTCTGTAATTGATTTAGACATATGAAAATGAATATTTTGATCTATTCCTTGAAAACAGAAGTGCTTGGGTCAAAGTTCAAAATAAGAAAATGAAACAAACTCCTGCCAAGTAAAAACTAATTTTTCTGTTTGTTTTTGTCTTTCACTCATTGAAGTCCTAATTCATAAAGATTATATCTTTATTACAAGAATATGCTCTGCTATTCAGAGATAGTTCTACATAAGGAACTTACAGATATTAAAAGCTGCATTATAAAAAGCCAGTGTTTTGATAGAGGTGGGAAAACTTGCTTCTTTCCACTAGAATACAAATTACAAAGATACATTTTTAATTTTTTTTTATTACAAGTCTATGATCATTTGGGAAGCTGCTCAGCCATTCACTTTGGTTTAGATCTACATGCTTATGTTATAATGATGTAGACCAGAACCTCAGTTACCATCAAGAGAGAGAGCTGCACAGGTCTATATTTTCGGGTAGGCCTTCATATCTATTTGGATTGTCTCCAAGACATTTCACACTCAGCATGTCCAAAGCCTAATTCATAGTCTTTCTCCCAAATCTAGCCTTTTTTTGGTGTCTCCTATTTCAGGGAGTGGCACTTTAATCTTCTATTTAATCCAACTTAGAATGTGAGGATCATCTTTATATTCTTTTTCCTTTAACCTCTATTTCAAATCTATTCTCAAGTCTTGTTGACATTTAAAATCTCTCTCAAATTCCTTATCTATATTTCTCTGCATCTCAGTTGGTCCATGCTACCTTCATCTTAAATATTCAGCAATGTAGGGGCCTCTAATTGATCTGCCAGCATCTACTCTTATCCATCTCTAATCTAGTTTTGTCTCCTTCTTGCTTAAAACATGACAGCTTCTCAGTGTTCTTAGGATTAAGACCAAGGTATTTCATATAGCCTGGAAGGCCTCAGCTCATCTTCTTGCTCTCTGCTCGAGCCAGACTGGCCTACTTTCAGTCCCCTGGTATCATCATCTTTCCTGTGTTAGGAATGCTTTTCCTTTCCCATTTAACTAGTTAACTCTTACTTACTCTTCTGATAAAATTTCCTGAAGAGAGCATTTCTCTTCAATTAAATCTCAGTTATATTACCTGTTGGTCCCACTAATGTTAACTTGCCACAATTGGTATTATATGTAAAATTACAACATTCAATTTTCTTACATTAGAAGAGAAACTCCCTGTGGGCTGAGCTCATTTCTGTGTTGAATCACCAATACATAGCTGTGTGCTGGCACATGCTTACCTAATATATCTTTTTAGTGAATAAACTAATAAAACTTTAAAAATGTAAACATTCCTTCTTTTCTATCTATATACTCAGTAACATCTTTGACTCTTCTATCCCAGCCTTTGCTTTGATCTTGCCATTTAATAATAGGCCAGTTAATAAACTCCAAGAGTAAATCAATAGAAGAAAACCAGGATAAGAAAAATGAGCCAATACACAGCAAGCAGCCAACTTTGTAAATGCCTGTTCTTTTTATTTACCACTGACACAGGTCAACTTCCCTACAGCTACATACAATGTGATCAATATATGTTCCCTAATTAGTCAAATACTTTATGTCCAGTTCTATTTATGAAAATTACAGCTGTAGGAAGAGTACCTATACCTTCTACTGATTATCACTTTATGTTTTTGCATGTGATTTTACATGGGAACTTTTTTTTTACTTTTGAGTAGTCTATGTAAAATGTGGTTAGTTTCTCTTTATCACAGATTTAGGGCTTTGTATGTAGATAACTTCTTGTCATTACATGGTATTGTTTCTTGCAGCATGTACAGTCTCTACCAACAGAAAAAATTACCAAGAAACCTATTCCAGATGAGCATCTCATCCTAAAGACCACATTTGAGGATCTTATTCAGCGCTGCCTCTCTTCAGCTACAGATCCTGTATGTATTTTTTCTCATATTTTGTTATTGCAGTAATCTTTTATGGAATTCTCTAATTATTTCTTAAAGTTTGACAAAGTATATTTCTAAAAAGTTTGTACAAAAGTATACAACCAACATTTATATAGTTTCTTTGCATATAAAAATGTATGAAATTGCTTTTTATGTATATTTATATAATCCCTACAACCACCCTGTGGTCGGTAGACTTGCCATCTTTATTTGCAGATGAGAAAATGAAGGCAAAATGCAGTAACAGTCAAAGTAGAGCCAGCATTCCAACCGAGTCTGGCTCCAGCACTCACTCTCAGCCGCTGTTCTACATATCCTCTCATCAGCAGCCTTGTACTTGGCCCGTGTATAGAACAAGAGTAGTGACATGCAAGATTTAGGGTTTAGGACTTAGGGTTTCTTTCTGGGTATTTGTTAAAGTTTTTAAAAGTAGATAGATAATCTTATATATAACTTTGCAAAGGTCTTAAAAATAGTTAAATGTTTTAGATATTGGAGTCATAGTCATAATTATAGCAACTGACTTTACTAAGTTTACTTACAGGATGCCTGTATATTAGCAACAACAAAAATTCCACAAAGCCTGTCTTGTTTTAGATGAAGTTTCAAATTCAGCCAACAAACATTGAATATATTTATTTAGCCACTGCCACTTCTCTGCTTGAAAAAACAACTTCTGGAATTTGTTGTTCCATCAAGCATTGAATATAAATATGTGAAGCCTTCTGCTGGTCTTTTGGAAAACAGTTGTACCTAAAGTGTCAGGAAAGCAGAGGCAGGGAAGGGTTACCATAAACCTTAATGCCTGGCATTCTGGGAGTGGTGGGAAGACCAGACTGGGAGCGAGAGAGCAGATTCTGCTGATCACCAGCTATCACTACCCCCTGTGCACTCTTCTGAACAGACAGGTTATGGTCATTCAGACATACAAGAGTCCTATTAAAAATGTGCAGAACTCCAGTCCTTCAGATAGAGAGGTGGGAAGGATGCCTTTCTAGTACATGGCCTAGCTCAATAAATTTTTGTTGAGTTAACCTCCTCTGGGTCAGCATACCATCTTTCTGGGTCCACAAGAGCGAAGTAGAATTTACTTGAGACAGGGACTAAAAGAGTTCCCCTTTACCTAAGTCCATTTTAATAATTGGAATCATTTTTATAGTATGGCTTTGTTCTTATTTTCACTTAAGTTATACCTGAACAACACAAAGTTATTTTGTATTACTTTGCTTATAATGTTATCCTTGAAGGCCTGACCTCTTCCTCTACTCTTGGAACACAGTGACATTCCCTTCCTCAAACATACCAAGAGCACATCAGCAACAGAAATTTGATTCATGCTGCTCCTTCTGCTGCTCCCACATAGCTGCATTTCTCACTCCTCTCTTTCGCTTCTGCTCAGATGCCCCATTAGCCATCAGACCTTTCTTTTACCACCTGCCACACCCAATGCTTCTGACTTCCTTTCCTTGTTAACTTTTCTTCATGGCACTAATTACCATCTGACATACAATATAGTGTTTATTTAGTGCTTTTTTCCACCATCCATTAGAATATGAGCTCTATGAGACAAGACAGTATTCCAGCATGGCACATAGTAGGCACTCAGTAAATACTGAAAAACGGTATTACTTCTATACTTGTGTTTAATACAGATCATTATGTTAATCATGTTCTAATTTTCATCCTTTATTTGTAGTATTAGGGGGGAGCACTCTTTAAGGACTTATTTTACTACTTTACTCTTACTCTTAAGTAATTTTCTTTTTTCTTTGGTGTTTTAAAGGCTCAGAAAGAGTCAGGATTAGGCAAAATATATCTAAGTGTTTAACTAGTATTTATACTTACGCAGATAAAATCTAACCGATAAAATCCAACCAGTGTTCCATTACATGTACCAGGAGGAGGCGCCTCATATCCACTCACCCTCTCCCATTAATAGTTTGCACTCTGTTCTAATAACTTTTTAAAATTTGGGTGTCATAGTTGTTTCTCTCTTTGTAAAATGAAGCTGGTCAAAATCATAAGGTTTAGTGAAATGAGATATAGGGCACATTTTTTGGATAGAAATTAGTGTTGAAATATATGTTTTTCCTGTCCTGCAGCAAACCAAGAGGAAGCTAGATGATGCCAACAAACGTTTGGAATTTCTATATGATAAACTTAGAGAACAGACAGTAAGTTTTGGAGGGGAAGGGGAAGGATTTATGATAATTATTATTTCTGGTTGCTAGTAAATAAAGCACATGTAGTATGCTTGAGGGCAAAGTTGGGACAGCCCTGGAATGGGCTTCACTCTAACTCTCCAAATCTTAAATTTTCTCCATTGGGGATAAGGGGAAGGGCTGTGTGTGAGTGAGAATATGAGTGTGAATGTGAGAGAGTGTGTGTGTGAGAGAGAGAGAGAGAGAGAGAGAGAGAGAGAGAGAGAGGAAGGGAGTGGGGGATAGAGGTTTTTAATCCTTCTTAAAACAGGAGTAGAAATACAAACTGACCTGTACTGGCCCTAAGGTAACTGACCTGTTCATTTTTTGTGTCCCTTGAGTCAAGAAATCTGAGGGGGAAAAAAGAAAGAAGTCAGAGAACGGGGAAGATACTTTGTTTTCCAGAGACCAAATCTCTAATCTTTCTCTTAGTCTTAAGACTCCGGATCCTTTTCTTTTAGAACAGTTATTACATAAAGCAAAGCCAAATGTAGCCACAAGACAAACACATTAATGCACTGAAGGTAGTCAGCAGGGAGTACCAAATGCACTGTCTGATTTCTCATCCCCACTCTCCATTCTTTTCTAGAATTGCTTTGTTTTATGAAAGCAGTAGGATAGGAGAGGAAAAAAAGGAACTGGGACTTTTTTATATTCTCGAATTTCAGCATTCCTCTTCCCCTGAACCAGTCCTATCAGATAAAAATAACCATTTATCTCATGAGAACCAAACCAAAGAAAGTTGATCTAACAGTGTGTGTTCTGCAAACTGTTCCAAAATAAATTCTCACAAAAGTGTGGATATGTCAGCTAAATAATGGCATGGAAAAAAACTAAAGGTCTTACGGTTTTTAAGAGATGATTATTAAGGATTATTTAAAAAAAAAAATTTAAGAATTGGCAAATTGAATACATGGTAAAGATTATTGTCCTACTAATGGAAGTAAACCAGAAGTTCAAGGTCTCTGTTATAGACAAGATTTTAGAATAAATTGACCCCTTTCTCCCTCGTATTATGATTAAGAATCTTTGATCACCTTCATCCGCATAGGAAAAACTTTGAAAGATGTGAGGCTACATCTAAAATAATAATCATAAACTCAGAGATATTAGCATTTCAGCTTGGGGGCGGAACTCCACCTTCTTTCTATAAAGAAAATACCTTGTTCATAAACAAGTATATTTCATAAAATCCTTACATAGATCATTTTGTCATGGCTCTGTTTTACAACTTAAGTGTAGCTTGGTCCAAAAAAACTTTCTAGAAATGATAAATAGTTTATACATGTAATTTTATTATACATATTTATGTTTATTGTAAGCTCTTTTTAAATCCAGATTTAATGTTTGTAAAGGGTCTCATAGGAAAGTCTCTTTAATTCTTTCTCTTGATTCCACCTTTATTTCAGCTTTCACCAACAATCATCAACGGTTTACACAACATTGCAAGGAGCATTGAAATTCGAAACTACTCAGAAGGATTGACCATCCACACCCACATAGTTAGCACCAGTAACTTCAGTGAAATCTCTGCTTTCATGCCAGTTCTCAAAGTTGTTCTCACCCAGGCCAATAAGCTGGGTGTCTAAAAGCACAGCTTCACTCCCAGCCAACATTGCAATTTCTCCAAAGAAACATATTTTTAAGAATAAAATATGGACCAATCCTCATTAGCATGTTCCCATAGCAGCCAATCGAGAGCATTTACACTATTTCTGCAGATATACTTACTTAAAACTGCTCAGAACCCTGGTGCTTTCTTTTGTTTTGATCTTTTATTGTCTGTGATGATTTTCCTATTCTGCAAATAGTGTATTTCTTGGATTACACATAGTGTGGCTTCCTGAAGTATTCTGATAAAATACCATTTTTAAGACCTCAGTATACTTTCTAGAAATGGAGTATCTGGTTATATGTAAAGCAGAGCTAAAATTACATTTCTTTCATGTCCTCCCCACTTCCTCCATGTCAATCAGATTAAAATGTGTAATCCTGTGTTATGTGTATGTACTCTTTTTTTAAAAACAGCTGCTCATAGTTTAGTTTAATCCCTGTTTTGTGTGTCTTAGGCTTCACTCTTGTCCTGAACAAATAACTAAATATAGAGGCTGCTACATGGATTTTAGCAAATATTAATAAAAAGTGGGATCACTGGCTTTAAGTATCTATAAGAAAAGACCGCATTTACATTCTGTAGAATGCATTGAACTTTTTCTATTAATAAATGTTTTCAATACTCTGAGTTTTAAGATTGAATTGTCTCCATTTTATAGTTTTGAGAGTCATTCATCCATTTTTCAGTAGTTACCTATGAGCTCAAGGATTTAAGTTCAGAAAGAAAACTAATTTCTGTCAGCTTCCTGAATCAAAGCAAGACATTTTTCTGCAAGTGACTTTATTATATAATTTGTCTTAAGGGTGATGTGGTAAACAAAAGACAATGGTTCTTATAACTGAGGAGAATTAAATACTAATAATTTTTCACTGTTCATTCAATTTTACCAAAGAGGGTTGGAAGATTAGAAGATAAAAACTGTTTCTACTATGGAGAGAGAGGTTCTGTTTCAAGGAGTAAGAGTTTCACCAAGCTTCCAGTGTAAGTGAAATAGTTTGGAAGAACTTTTCAGTTCCTTTTACTGGAATTCTCTACTCACAATCCTTCTTTTAGAAATTAGCCAACTTAATTTTTAACTCAGAATAGTTACATAAGTAAAAAATAAAAAAAAAAAAGGAGGACCTTAATCAGTGTTGGTGCCTCCAAAGTGAGGTGCTATAGCTAAGCTTTGGAAACAGCCCAAATGCCCCAAAATAGATGACTGGATCAAGAAGATGTGGTACATATACACCATGGAATATTACTCAGCATTCAAAAAAGATAAACACATGCAATTTGCAGCAACATGGATGGCACTGGAAGGGATCATGCTCAGCAAAATAAGCCAGAAAGAAAAAGAAAAATACCGGATGGTCTCACTCATAGCAGGGATCTAGAGAACTTAAATAAGGGACCAGGAAAATGAATAACTATAAGAAAGTGAAAATCAAAATCAACAAAAAACTATGAGCCAGAGACACTTTTTGGGGGTGGGGGGTGGGAGGGGAGGGATTAGGGTCAGAATGGGGGGGTTGCAATTGTATGGGGAATATAAAAATAAAATCTATTATTTAAAAAAAAAATGAAGCTGATTTTAGGACAGATTTGGGATCATATAAGTGAGGGGAGAAATGGTAAATAAATCTAATAAATCAGATATTTATTAGGGAAAAAAATAAAAAATAAAAAAAAACAAAGTGAGGTGCTAATATTGTAGCTGTTCTTCAGTCTTCTGGAACTTGCAAGTCTCAGTTAGTCTGTGACTCACTGAAGTGGCAACTTGACTATCTGAACCTGACTCTTACCTACGGTGTCAGCCCAAGACCCCCATCTGAACAACAGGCTGACCGCTAATTTTTCATTTGTTGTCTTTATAGAGTCTTTGCGTTATGACTGCATATTTACCCTGATATGACAGTGACATGATTGGCAGCACTTAACAGTTGTTCCCAAAAAGGTGGGACACAATCTTAGGTGGCAGTCAAGTCCTGGCCAACCCAAACGGTTTTGAGCATGAGTGTAAAATATCTCACCACTGACATCTGAGCTTTTCTCTCTCTTTTTTTTTTTAAAGATTTATTTATTTATGCATACAAGAGTCGGGGTATAGGCCAGAGGTGTAGGGAGTGAGAGGATTCACCAGAGACAGAGTAGGCAGAACCGTCAGATCTACTGATATACACTGATGAGGGGAGCAGCAGGCGAGACAGGAGAGGTCTGCTGCGCCTTGTTCAACAACCTGGCTGGGGATTGAACTTGTGCTGCAGTGGCTGTGGATTGCTTCATAGTGCTGAGACTTAACCCCTTGCACCACCAGAAAGGCCTTGTTCTCTCCTTAAATACAATATTATGGAGACATTTCTCCACAAAGCTTATAACCTTGGAGAAGACTCATGTAAACGGATGGACGTTTACATAAGCTGTACCCAAAATATTGTTCACTCACTAAAGCATGAAGATAATAGGAGCTCATGGAAAGAGAAGTTTGTCTTTCTGAAGGATAAAACTTTCAAAAGGTGGAAAATTTCAGTGTGAAACTTTGAAAATGAATCTGTTTTTAATGTTTTCAACTCAGAAGACGTTATAGTTTATGACTGCATAATTCAGGGGCCACTGTATTAGACTATATATAAAGACCCGGTTGATGATATCAACCCATTTGTTCTTTAGTTTTAAAAAGTTAACCAATGTGGGCCTCCCCATGGCGCAGCAGTTGAGCACTAGGCTGCGAAGCTGCCCGCAGCCTCTGCAGCGCCGGTTCCATCCCCGGCTGCCAGGGAGGATCCCACATGGTGTTCCGCGCCCACTGCTCCCCTCAGCAGTGTACTTTCTCAGTCTGCCTGTTCTGCTCCCCGCTCTGGCCTGGTGAATTCTCTCACCCACGCTTCTGACTGTACCCAGTGCTTATATAAATAAATAAATCTTTAAAAAAAAAAAAAGTCACCAATGTCCCTTTGCCATTATTTCATGAATATTGACCAGTCATTCTGAATCCCAAGTCTTAAATTTTGCTGCTTCTGTTTTGTGTTTTTATTTTTTTAAACTACTTGATTTTAAAATAAAGAAGAGTGTGAGGGAAGCTGTTGGAGGTATTGGGAGGAATTGTATCAGAATCTCAGAGGGAGGTGTGCTTTTTTATACTGCACTTGTTCCTCCCCTTCTTCACACTAACCTTGGCCCATGGGATGGATACACCCATAGGCCCCATTTGTGAATATGTGCAATGGGAAAGATTGCTGCTGGAGGAGGTAACTCATTTGAATAGTGTGACAGAGGGAAAAAGTTGAGAACAACTACACTACATCTGCCTGTTCAGAATACAGTGACCCTTTCTGTTCCTTTGGATTCAGGTAGTTCCCATGAATCTCAAAGGACAACCAGATTCCAGCATGCCTGCTTGATCCTGCCTGAAAGATAAAGGGAGAGATAGCAACATTTGATGGGGGCTTACCTAAGAATGACTAAGAGACCATCTGTGGTCTCCTTTGCCACGGTGGAAACTTCATTTGGAATTGTCATGAAGACTCAGCAAACAGTGCACATCTGTGTCCACACTCACCAACACACACACAGTCCCCTCTATTTTGTCCACGGCTATGGTGGCAGCATTCCCATATAACAACTGAGAAATCTGTTGGGGTATTCATTAAATGATGGTGTCACAAGTGGCCTCTCAAATTATTCTGCGAATACAAAGAGGAGTAACTGCACAGAAAGTCTTAACTAGTTGATCTTACGGATAAGTGCCCCAAATCTTTCAACCAAACTAAATTACAAAGGAAAAACAGTGGAAAATTACAAAGGAAAAAGATTTTCTTACACTATTTGCTTTATATTTCTGTAGCATCTGTTCTGCTCAGGGCTGTGGTAACCATGCTAGTCACTTAAGTTCAGGTTGCACAGCATGCATTTAAGGCTAGGGTCAAAATGTATAGTTCTTTAATTTTCAGTTGTTTGCCTTTTCCTCCCTCTGAGAGGTATGGGATGCATGGGTTTAAAGTGGTTGGAGTAGCTCTTGAAAAAACTAATAAAATCGAAACAGACTTTAACTGGGGTGCATGTTTTTGCATTCTGGATTAATGTTTCCAGAGATCTGCTAAAGTATTTATTTAGCAAACAACGTTAATGTTGTTAGGTCTGAGACATCTAGAGTGACTTTGTACAAACATCATTACTCAGTAATGTCTGAGATCTTTATTTTAATGGAGCTGCACTCCCTATTGAATTTGAATTCAATTTTTGACTCATACTCTATTCATGTAAAAGCTTATTGCTCATCAGGTAGGGCAGTCTCTGCCTTTTTTCCGGTACCTTATAATTTCCCAAACCCATCATCTTTCTAAAACCACCTTTTGCATATTGGGCTTATATGGCGCCAAAGAGGGTGAGAAGGGAGCTTTAGAAGCCTGGTGAAATGGAGGAAATCTTATTTCAAGAGGATACAAGAGCTTAGTTCTTGTACATGATGTTAAAACTAATGAAACTGTCTAAAACATCTACCATTATTTTCTTTTCTACCTTTAAGGCTATTGTATTTCCCAACTCTGGAGTATTATCTTAGCATCATTAACTTGGTATCTTTACTTCAGTAAATGTTTAAAGTGTTTTATACAGTTCGGTAGAGATTTCATGGCCAGACAGATGCGATTCCAGGTAGACAGTATAAAATAAATCGGTAGGGAGCCTCTCCTAGGCACAGACTTCATTCAAATTTGATTAGAAAAGTTCCAGACTTTTTTTTTAAATAGTAAAAGGGTAGTAAGTGTAATTGAAGGGAGCCTTTCAGGGTGACTGGTAGGTCTGATTTAGTTAATGATGAAAATTTATTTCGTCTTATACTTTGTTCAGTAAAAGAACTACCCACTCTAGCAAGACTAGAATGTGTATGGAATTAAATTTAAAAGAGTTCAGTAATAAAACAGGAAACATCTAAAAAAAAAATTTTCTTTCCCTCTGGATATATCTCCAAACAAAATGTGACTTTCTCTGACCACCTTTTTTGCCTTGAGTCTTTCAAAGGGCACAAGTTGGTTTTTTTGTTTTGTTTTTTTCTTAAATGCAGTTGTTTGGGTTTTTTGTTTTTTTTTAAAGATATATTTATTTATTTATACAAGCACTGGGTACAGTCAGAAGTGCGGGAGGGTGAGAGAATTCACCAGAGACAGAGCGGAGAGCAGAACAGGCAGACTGATGAAGTACACTGCTGAGGGGAGCAGTGGGCACAGCAGGAGAGGTCTGTGCGCCATGTGGGACCCTCGCTGGCAGCCGGGGATTGAACCAGCGCTGCAGAGGCTGCAGGCAGCTTCGCAGCCCAGCGCTCAACCGCTGCGCCACCAGGGGAGGCCCGTTTTGTTGTTTTTTTTTTTAAGATTTATTTATGCATACAAGAACTGGGGTGTAGGTCAAAGGTGTGGTGAGGGGGGTGAGAGGATTTGCCAGAGAGTGGGGAACAGAACAGGCAGATGGACTGAAATACACTGCTGAGGGGAGCAGCAGGCGAGACAGGAGAGGTCTGCTGTGCCATGTGGGCAGCTCCCTGGCCAGGGATTGAACTGGTGCTGCAGTGGCTGT